CCAGAAGCCCTATTTGGTTGGCTGAGCTTTGTCATTCTTGCATTGTGGTTAACAATTTTTTCCATTCAACTTTGCTTCCTCTGCTTCTTTTCACTGATATTAATGCTAAGATAGATGTTGTACTTCAAACTCTATCCCAGCATTTGCTTTGAAAGTCCAGCTAGGATAACAATTATGATCAACTTGGTCTTGATTGTGTCAATAAATCTAAGATAATCATTGACTTTCATGGTGATAAATCTAACAGATTAGCAATCAGACTAAGTAGCATTTGAAACAGCAATTAAGAAAAAACTTTGGACAGGCACAGGTGACTCATGCCTGTAATCCTAGCTACTCAGGAGGATGAGATCTGAGGATCACGGTTCAAAGCCAGCCCAGGCAGGAAAGGCCATGAGACTCTCATCTCCAATAAAGCACCAGAAAACTGGAAGTGATGCTGTGGCTCAAGTGGTAGAGCGCTCGCCTTGAGCTGAAGAGCTGAGGGACAGTGCCCAGGCCCAGAGTTCAAGCCCCATGACTGACAAAAAGAAAAAAGAAAAAAAAAAAAGGAAGACTCGTAAGTGCTGACAGGATCAGCAATCCTTATACATACTACTCATTTGTTTTTCATTATCAATTGAATAATTAAAGGCTTAACATATTATGTAAAGTATAAGAATATAAAAACAAATAAGACCGACTCCTTGTTTTTGTGGAAGCTCTGTTTAATGACATCTGATTGGATGTAAAGAATGAAAAACCAGAAACAGAGCAGGTTCTGTGTTTCAGGCTTGGGTAATGGGATGATAGAGATATTCCTGAGTGGCCTGGGCCATGGTGGAGGGGTGGGGAGGAGGGAAAGTTCCTTTAACAGGCAAGGAGGAAGATTACAGTTGGTAGTTTTATGGATTTGTGATGCTTGTGGAATATCATGTAGAAATAACTTTAGAGTAATCGCGCCAGAAACCAAATTACAGTAAGAAGATGGTTAACTACAATTTGGGAATATGGTGATGGATTCATAGAGATGGAAGATTCCCAAGTTTGGCTGTGTATAAAAAATTGAAACTCATTAAAAATGGATTCTGAAGTTTCTCCCCTAAATTCCAGTTCCTTTGACTCTGGAAGAAGCTGGATATTTTGGGTTCTCTAGATGGTACATATCAAGATGGGATGAAATTACAGGGGCTGCCTTTTGGTGGACAGGGAGGAATATATGTGTGAGAAGAAATGGGGGAAGAGCCAGGGAGGGTGTATTGGAGGGAGCCACGTGACCTGTGATGCAGCTCTGCCCCCAGTGAAGACAGAAGACAGCTCACACGGTGCTGTGGAAGGCAAGGAAAGTTTAGCAAACCGCTGTTGGGAAAGTTCTCAGAATAAAGTTGCCCCCGGGGACTTCTACATCATTTAGCATCGTGCCCTGTGCCAGCATTGGTTAGAACATCCTGTAGGAAGCCTGGTGCAAACATGGTGGTGGCTTTCAGAAAACAAGAATCTGGAGCCTTTGGTCCATTAAATTTCTCATAGCTGTAGATCTCTGGGATGTCTTTTTTTTTTTTTTTTGGTCGGTTGTGGGGCTTGAACTCTGGTCCTGGGCGCTGTCCCTGCACTCTTCAGCTCAAGGTGAGCACACTACCACTTGAGCTGTGGCGCTACTTCCGGTTTTCTAGTGGTTTTATTGGAGATAAGAGTCTCAAGGACTTTCCTGCCCAGGCTGGCTTTGAACCGAGATCCTCAGATCTCATTCTCCTGAGTAGCTAGGATTACAGCCATGAGCCACCAGCGCCCGGCTTGGGATGTGTTCTTTTAGCTGCCACACATGTGCTACAATTTCGAGACAGTGGGATAGAAAAGTAAGTTTGAAATGGGTTGGAATTGGAGAGATATTTGGGTTCAAGGGAAGGTTTCATTTTTTCATGTGAGATAGGTTTTCAAAATATTTTTGTAAGCCTACAGAGGGGACTACTTACAGTCCAAAAATTTAAAAAAGACAGGAAGGAAGGAGATTGAGTAGAAGAGAGGGTGGGAGGGTGTGTGTGTGTGTGTGTGTGTGTGTGTGTATGTGTGTGAGAGAGGGGGGGGAGAGAGAGGGAGAGGGAGAGGGAGACACACAGACAGAGACAGACAGAGAGACAGAGAGACAGAGACAGTAAGACAGAGAGAATGGGAAAGAAGATGGGAAGAAATGAGGTTAAGGGATATGGCTTTGAATTTGAGGTATGATATTTTATTCTTCTCAGTGTCTGGACATGAGTTAAGATTGAAAGCTGAAGGGTTAATCAAGATTGTACACTAAAAGGAAGTGCACTTAGTTTTCTTGGTGAACACAAATATGCGGCAGAGCATGAGAGGCAATGGTGGAAAGTTTGGTCTTGGATAAGAAGTACCTCAGATGCTGAGGCTGAAAAAAACCCCAAGTGAGAAGGGGTGCAAAATGCACTTCTGTAGGCATGGGATCAAGTCAAGGAGAGAAAAGCTGACGGCTTCAACACTTTTGCAAGTAAAAGACACAGTTATTGGAAGAGATTCTTTTATTGTTGTTTTCTTCATATGACAAATTTTGCACACAACCGATAACTAATCCTCTATTGTACATTTTAATATTTAAAATATTTTAAATTAAAATATTTCATAAGTCATTCATAGCTATTTACCCATTTCCTCCATAGACATATAAATAAGAATTCTACAATAGTCTCTTTTTAATTTGGAATTTTATAAAGTGGACATTGAATTTAATTCATATACTTTCAATCAGGTAAAAATTAAAGAAAATATACTCCAGCAGATTCCATAATATTTATTACCAAATTGAACATATAAGAAACATTTAGAGGACTGGGAAGGTGGCTCAGTAGAGCGCTTGCCTTGAATGCATGAGGCACTGGGTTCAATTCCTTAGCACCACATAAGCAAAAGGAAAAAAGCCAGAAGTGGTGCTGTGGCTCAAGTGGTAGAGCGCCAGCCTTGAGCTGAAGAGCTGAGGGACAGCGCCCAGGCCCAGAGTTCAGGTCCCACGACCGGACCCCCCCCCCCCAAAAAAAAATTTAGAATCACATAATTTTAATCTAGCAATAAAAGAAATTCACCAAAGGGTAGATGCTGACTAACCCTATTAAAAAATAGACATCAGCCGGGAGCTGGTGGCTCACGCCTGTAATCCTAGCTACTCAGGAGGCTAAGATCTGAGGATCGAGGTTCAAAGCCAGCCCGGGCAGCAAAGTCCACAAGACTCTTATCTCCAATAAAAACCATTAGAAAACCGGAAGTGGCACTGTGGCTCAAGGGGTAGAGTGCTCACCTTGAGCTGAAGAGTGCAGGGACAGCGCCCAAGCCCAGAGTTCAAGCCCCACAACTGAACAACAACAACAAAAATAGACATCAAAGTAGTTTTCAGTTGGAGGGAATTATTGAGATGAATAATTTTTTTCCAGTCCTAGGGCTTGAATTCAGGGCCTGGGCACTGTCTCTAAGCTTCTTTTGCTCAAGGCTAGCACTCTACCACTTGAAACACAGTACTACTTCTGTTTTTTTCTGTGTATGTGGTACTGAGGAATCAAACCCAGGGTTCATGCATTCTGGCAAGCACTCTACCACTAAGCCATACTCCCAGCACCAGAGATGAATAATTTTTTAATGTAGAGAATTTTGTAAATTAATTAGTATAAATTTGCTCTATTTTCTAATTTCAAAGCACTTAATGGAAATCCCACTTTACTCCTATGGAAGTTTTGAGCTATCTGAAGAAGGGCTTTGGCCTAGCTAGCTCTATCTTGTCCCTTTTGCTACTTTAATCTTTTATTTTCCAAAGTTTTCATACCTACAGTCACCTTGGGACACCCTGAAGGACAAGATAACAAATAAACATCTTGAGAGAAAGTCAGAACTGCTGCTCAGATAGGCAACGCCCTTTGCACAACATGACCTGATGTCTCCCATGTACTGGACAATAATGAACTACTGGAGCATATCTTTGATCAGAGAAACCTAAGTACATACTCTGTGGCCATGGAATCCAGGGAGAATGAGATTACTTGCTAGGTGTCAATGACTCCTACTATCACAAAGTTGTAATCGTCCAATTCTGTGACTGTTGTCTGTCACCCATTACCATACAACATCATTGTGACTGCAATGATTTATAGGTATTTCTTACTCTCTTGCCAAGATTGTCCCTCTGTCTTCCTGTTGGAGCCATGTTCAATTAAGTCTTTTTTCTCTGCTGTTCCCCAATGGGCAACTCTTTAAACTGTCATGTAGGGACTAGTAGTTGAACCTAACTTGGTTGGTACACTTGGATGGGGCTTTTCACCAAAACTCTGGGCTCAACTTTAGAATTATCCTTTTTTGTGTGTACTGGTCCTGGGTCTTGAACTCAGAGCCTGAGTGCTATCCCTGAGCTTTTGTGCTCAAGGTTTGTGCTCTACCACTTAAGTCACAGCTTCACTCCTGGCTTTTTGCTTGTTAATTGGAGATAAAAGAGTCACAGATTTGGAGCTGGGAAGATGGCTCAGTGGTAGATCGCTTGCCTTGCATGCCTGAGGCCGTGGGCTCGATTCCTTAGCATCACATAAGCAAAAAGAAAAAAAGCCGGAAGTGGCGCTGTGGCTCAAGTGGTAGAGTGCTAACTTTGAGCTGAAGAGCTGAGGGACAGAGCCCAGGCCAAGAGTTCAGGCCCCACGACTGGACCGCCCCCACCCCCTGTCCCCAGCCCAAAAAAAAAAAAGAGTCACAGATTTTCCTGCCCTGGCTGGCTCTGAACCATGATCCACAGATCTCAGCCTTCTGAGTAGCTAGGATTACAGATATGAGCCACAGATACCCAGAAAGAATTTTCCATTAGAAAAAAAAATTTAGTTGAGTCATCTTTTAGAAACGCCAATGGGTCTTTGTAATATTAAAACCCAGAGAATGTATTAATTATCATTTAACCAATATGCTATAAAGATAGAAGCTTCTGAACCACAGATCCAGAGTTGGGAGAGAATGATAAAAGCATGACATAAGTAGAAGTGAAAAATGTTGAGAAACCCTTAGTTTAATCCTGTAATTTATAGATGAGGACATAGGATCAATAACATATTTAATGTTACATCCTGGTTTAATAATAGAGAAAAGCAGTTTCAAATTCATTAATTTCATATCTTAGAAGTTGTGAAAATTCATTCATATTATTTATTCTTAGAGTTTTGTGTTTTATGTTATGGTGTTAAGTGTTCTAAGCACTTGAAACCTAATGTCTCCTATATGGTGTCTGCTTTGAGGATGAGTTGGTTTGAAAGGGGTAGCCTAGCTCAAATACATGGATCTATCTTTTGCTGACCAGCTTACTAGTAAAGAGGTTAAACCACATTTTAACCTCTGTAGAAGTAACTGAAAACCAAGCAACAATATTTAAGAGTTTTCATAAAAAAGAAGTGCTATAAAAAAAGCTAGAGCAGTTCCAAGTTTCATTCTTCACTTCTTCATAGATATAGGGAGTTCCTCATCTGTGTCAATTCTAATTACAATAAGGACATGTGTTTAAACAGAGCACATAATTAGATGTTAGCACATGGATCCACAAAAATAACACTTTTCTATACTTAATCTTAGATGTACACACAGCATGGATAACATTCTTATGAAATAATTAACATTTTCACAACGAACGCCTAGGGACAAACTATATGCAATAATTTTACTGCTAGAAGTTGTAAAAAAAATTAACCCACCAGCAGGAGAGGAGACAGATAATTTGAATAGATATTTTAAGATTAAATGATAGGTTTTTTTTTTCTTCTCGAAGAATGTTTTTAAAATTTCCTTCCTGATTTTTTTCATATATTTTTGACAGTACATTTTTCCCTCTTTTTTTCTTTTACTTTGGAAGGTTTGTAAGAGAGATAGTCTAACAGTATTGTAAGGGAGTGTCTTTATAATCATCGCCAAACTGAAATAATTCTTACCTGCCATTAATATAATCTTTTGAGATACTGATTAAGATGTCATTTTCTAAAATTAAAAAAAATTCAAAGCCTTATAAAGGTAAGCAGAATTTCACAGCAAATGGCAATACATCATTTGTGGATTTGTTTCCCATAATACCAGAAACATATATCAATTTAAACCAGACTTTGTGTTGGCACCTGATGAAGACAGCAGAGTGAACAGAGCTGAGGGCTAGTCATTGTCATAGATGCAACCTGGAAGAAAAAGGCACAGATTCAAGTATACAGCTGTATGAAATGCGCATGTTTCTCAGCGTCCTAACTGATTAGAATTGCAAGCAATATATACTCTGGTGTACTTTTTGAAAAAGAAGCTAGATGAAAGCCTATGTATTTAAGTTTCATTGTCTGGTATTCAATTCCAATAACTTTTCTGGACAGCTTTATTCTTCATCAGAATAAGAAATCTAAGATTATTTTATCTGTCACAAATCATATTTTGATAGTCATGCTAAATAAGACTGATTAAATATTAGCAAGTATCCTACATTTAATAGATTAAAGGATAAAGTGATTAGCAAATAGAAGGGCATTGGTGGCTCATGCCTATAATCCTAGTTACTCAGGAGCCTGAGATCTGAGGATCATGGTTTGAATCCAGTATGGGCATGAGATTCTGATCTCCAAGTAATCATTTAAGAGAGCCAGAGTAGAGGTGTGTCTCAAGTGGAGAGTGCCAACATTGAATGAAAATGCCAAGGGAGGGTACCCTGGCCTAGTATTCAAGCCTCAGTATTCAGCATAAAATTTCACCAAACAGTTGTACACTGTTTAAATAAAATAATGCAAGGCTTTTCCTCTTAATTTTCAACTCTGTGAAAATATTTTTTTCCCTTATGATACTAGGTCATTTGCTTTTCCTAACATGTTTAAGTGACTGAAACTCTTATCAGATGGGATGGCTCCAATTAGTCAAACAAGCCCTTATCAGTGTTTGTATAAACAATCAACTCACTGTTACTGCTCTCTGTGCTGGCTGACTTACCATCAGCAATGTCATCATAGATCTCTCCATCACTGTAAAGATGGAAAATAATTTCGATGTTAAAAGATGCCTTCCCAATATTAAAGTCATGTTATACGGAAAGGACAATTATTATTATTATAGAATGTAGACTTCTAAAGAAAGAAATTGTACAGTATGCATTTATAAGTGGAAAGAAATTTCATACTCCTTTCAACCTTTTCTTTCATTGGTTTTGTCTAATCCTGTTTCATTTTTCTAAGAATAAATGAAACATGCTTAAAGAGCATAGACTGCCTCACTCACTCCTCCTTAGACCTTACTTTGGGCAGAACACACAGCTGTGCTCACTAAGAAAACTGTAATGAGCTACCAAATGAATAGTCATGTGCAAAAATCTATCATGAATTTTATATCTATTGATATTAGATCTATGCTTTTACTTGCATTCATGATGAAGGAAATATAATACATTACATTGATATTTTCACATTCTAACTATCCCTTGCAAATACCAATTTTAGAGTCTGTAAATGTTATTTGTAGAACAAGTAGCCAAGATAGAGTTATCCTGGAGACTCTTAACGCCGTATGAATTAAAGACACACTTCCGAATTTCAGAACTGTGAGGTGGCTTCTTCACTTAGGCCAGACTCATTCTTGGTGTCTGTCTGATCTCTGTGCTTTCTCACAGAGCAGCATCAGGCCCTTCAAATGTCTGCCAACTGTGGCAGATGCTGTGAGTTCCCTATGTCTTCTGTTTGGATCCTTTCTTTGAGACTGGGGGAGGATTTGGCTAATATAAATTTGACGCAAATGCAAATGGGACAGATTTTCCTGTCATTCCTTTCATACATGTTTAGACATTCATTCAAGTAGGTGGTGAACCGATAATGACTTAGACAATGTATTGTCTATATTTTTTTCTTAATCTGTAATAATCAGCAAAGAAGAGGTTGTCCTAATTGCTGCACATTCTTTCCATACAATCTGTACCTTCCACAGAACAATGCCTATCCTTGTGATTAATGTTCTAAGGGAAAATAAAGTGCGATTCTTTTCTTTATTGAGTGTTGACTAGTTTTCTGATAGAACTCTTAATACTGACTTGCCATTTTCTGATTGGCATCAGGCTGCGTAAAGATAAATGATACATGAATCTTTGTTGTATTATGATAAATTCCATAAACTTTTGTATTGATAGATTAGGCTTCCTGGAGTAAAATCTTAAAGTGTTTTGGAGGGCTGCATTGACACACTAGTACCAGATTGTGGCAGACTGTGACAATGACTTCTTCATAAGAATAGAGGAATCATTGACTGCTATCTTCTTCTTTTTTCTGTCATGCTTCCAATAAAGACAACATAATAGTCTACTATGCATGGTATATAGATAGGAATAACCTTAGCCAGGAGCTAAACTATAAACTGTTGGTGAGTGATATTAGTTTCTACTGTATAGACATTATTTGGACTGTAATTAATTCATTTCCATCACTAGATTAAACATTAAATAAAATGCAAAACATTAGTGATAAGGTGTGGCTTTGACCAGAATGCCTTCAGTGTTTGATGAGTATACAAAATGATAATCTATATAATCATGGGCCAGAAGAACTTTTTGCTTAATCCAGAGTGGCATTTTATGCAAATCTCAACTGTATAATCAATAATACCATACTAGTGTAACATGGTTTTAATATAGCTATGATGATGTAGTAGTTTGCATTATTTGATTCTATTAGAAAACTTTCAGAAAGACAAGCACAAGATTCTTTTAACCAGAATAGTAATAGGAGGAAAGAGGCTTACTTGTCTACCAGATGACTCCGAAGGACAAAACCATCTATAAAGAAAAATACAAATAAGTTTTATTTACAGATGTAGGTTTGAAAAATCATTATTTCAGTTAATGTTCCAAATAAAATGTAACCACCACTTTTAAAAGTTAAAGTTTAAAAAAATTTCTAGGCTTTTAGATAATTTACTTTCTAAAAGTTACTTATACTAAAATGTCAGGGATTATTATTAAGGGCACTAAAATAATCCTTTATTTGACCTATGTTCTAATTAATAATGTACAGTTTATTTACCTTGATTTCATGAACTAATTCTTAAAAATATATTTTTAGGGTTCTGTAACACCTAATGCATTGTTCCCTCTATCTTCCCTATTCAACAAGTCTAAGGAACTTTTGTTGATGATTTTTGTTTTTTTTCCATTGTGGGGCTTGAACTCTGGGCCTGGGTGCTGTCCCTCAGCTCTTCAGCTCAAGGCGAGTGCTCTATCACTTGAGCCACAGCGCCACTTCCAGCTTTTTCTGCTTATGTGGTGCTGAGGAATGGAACCCAGGGCCTCATGCAAGCACTCTACCACTTAGCCACCTTTCCAGCCCCATGAGCTACCTTCCCAGCCCCAATGATTTCTTTTTTGATGATGCTTTTGCTCTTTTTGTTTCTCTGATACATAGATTTCAGTGATTATGAGTATTGTTTAAGAAATAATAAAATTTAATAAGAAAACAATAAGAAGAATATGAAGAAAAAAGATCAAGGAGATGGGAATGTGGGATGGTACTGTGCTACTGTATTTCAGTTCCCTGATTATGTGATAATTTAGGGCTTATTAGCTTACATTACATTTGAAGGAATACTGGCTTTAAATATAACATTTTTTTCTGTTTAATAGCTTTAAAAGCTTCAAAAACTTCATTCTATTAAAGACATGATTCATGGCAATGTCAAACAAGTGACTTACCATGCTTATTTAAAGTCTCCCCATTATAGTTCCTAGAAATAATGTGTGTTTTTATTTTACTTTTTTGCAATAGGACTATGATCCATTTTTCTTGTGTGGTTCATGTACATTCATTATAGGGGATTTCAAGCCCCCCAAACCAAAATTACCATGGCTCTGTATCATGAAGTAGGTGTGCTGTGTTTAGTTAGCCCTATAATATTTTGACTATGGACACACTAGAAAGTCTCACATATAAAATTATTATTTAGAAGCTTCCAATTCAGAGAGGAGAACACAGTGACCTGAAACAAATGTCTTGAAATATGCAGTAGGGACAGTAAGTTAGGAAAGTAACACCCCCCACCCCATGTGTCAGCTAAAAATTTTCCCCCAGTGTTTGCTTACCACAGTGCAGATGCGACTCAGGACTAATGAGTGACTCACCTTTTAGAAGGATATTGTGAATATAAAGTTGCCAAGAAAGCAGAATATCTTGGGAAAGTCATAAATTAACTTTATTTTCAGCTTTTTTATATTAAATAAAAAATAATGATGTACAACCTCCTCATCATTTCACTTGTGTTCAGAAACAAAATAAAGTTACTCAATTTGATTTCATTAAGCTTAAAAACCATAAAATCCTATTTATAAGATGATTTCTTTGTTGCTTTGTATGTCCCTTCCCCACGGTATAACCCTTGTTCTCACTGTATTTGATGTTGGTATACTTTGTAGAAAGGAAGGGAAAAAGCAAATTGATTAAATAGGGATACAGGTGGACCCATTGCAACAATGAGATGTACAAGACGTTATGTCGAAAAATGAACTTTACAACTTTGGTGGGGGTGGGGGTGGAGTTGGGGTGGGGGGTTGGAGGGTGGAGGGGTGAGGGGATGGAAAGGGATGGAAGGGGAAACAAAGGAGGAGGCAACAATGCTTGATAAGAAATGTACTCATTACCTTGCCCATGTAATTGAAACCCCTCTGTACAGTATTTTCACAATTAAAAAAATGATATATACTTAAAAAAAACAAAATCACATCATATATATTTACCCAGGTATTAATTTGAAGAGAAAATACTAACACAATAGAAAGAAACAACATGTGGTATATCATATTTAATATAAATTATGATTTGGGGTTTATGAAAATATTCTCTCTATAGTCTTTAGCTTTTGGTGTTTAATATGAGTGACTTTAGAAATGTTTTAATTGGGGCTGGGAAGGTGACTCAGTGGTAGAGTGCTTGCCTTGCATGCATGAGGCCCTGGGTTCGAGTCCTCAGCACCACATAAACAGAAAAAGCCGGAAGTGGCGCTATGGCTCAATGGGTAGAGTCCTAGCCTTGAGCTGAAGAGCTGAGGGACAGTGCCCAGGCCCAGAGTTTAGGCCCCATGACCGACAAAAAAAAAAAGAAAAGAAATGTTTTAACTTTCATTGAGACAGGCTCACATTATTTAGGTCAGGCTTGCCTTACTAGGCTACCCTGACTCAAATTGCTGAGTGCTGGAATTAATGACATGTATCACCGCATATGACTAGTGGAGCTTCTCTTCCCTTTTTTACTCCTCCCTCAGTCCCTCTCCTCCAGTTTCCTTCCCTTCTTCCTTCCCTGTCCCCTCCTCTTCCCTCCAAGCCTCCCCCTCTCTCGCTCCTTCTCTTTTTTCTCTTTCTCTTTTGTGGTGGAGCTAGGGCATGAAATCAGGGCCTGGGCATTGTCCCTTAGGTTTTTCATAGACTTCCCTGCTTGGGCTGGCTTTGAACCTTATCCGCAGGGATCTCAGCCTCCTAAGTGGCTAGGATTATAGGTCTTAGCCATCACCACCAGATCTGAGTCTCAAATCTTAATATACACTGCTCCTGGCTTTTTTCTTCTGTACCCACATTCCATGTTTTCTTTGAAAAGCCAAACCACACCTCCTCTATCTTAACTTTGTATTAATTTTCCCCCATGCTGGAGTCACTGTGCATTATTCTTGAAGCCATTTTAGTTTCTGTCCCTGAGTCACCTTCCTCCCATTAAAATTAAATTCAGAGCTCAAGTTTATATGGCAACCATGTTGGTTATCTAATTTCAAATATAGGAGAACATAATTTTAGATTACTCATTCCTCAGTTTTAAAAGAGCTTCCTTTTAAAATTCAACAAGGCAATTTCCATTCGTCAATTCTCATAGCTGATAAAGCTGAAGGGGACGGGGATTATCTTGTGTTTATTTAGAACAATATGTTGCATCAAGAACATCCAAAGAGGAAATGAAAACAAATGGTCATGCAAGGTAAGTAAACTATAAATTCTAGGTGTGATATATGTCATAAGATTTTCAAAATCAGGGCAGAGCAAGTACCACTCACTGCTTGGACAGACTTGTTCTTATGTGTACACGTAAACAAGTGAAGGAAGAAGTACTGGTCACAAAAGCCACCTCCTCACCAGAGCTCATGATTTACCCATTCCAAGACATACTCGCTAACTTCAATTTCAATACACACACTAGGATTTTCAGATGCTGGTGAATTCTAAAACACTATTTTATGAATATTTGCATTTGACACCCATTATATAACTAGCAGTTGGTAAATGAAAAGACAAAAATAAAACCTACTGACTTCAGTAGAACAAAAATCTCATTAAAAATATTTCCTATAATAAACCACAGAGCAAAATCAGCAAAACAAGGTGATTACTAGAGTTTGTTTGGATAGTAAATTCTGGGATGCCATGAATATAGAGCATGAAGAGTAACTTACATTTCCCTTCTTCATTCCTGCAGAGAACTTTTATATCATCTGTGCTTTGTATAACTTCAAGGGATTCCCCAGGTTTTATCTGTAGATCCTTCGCTCCCCATTTTTTAGAAGTTAAGGAGGGCACAACTTTGGTTGAATATAGAACTCTAATTTCACCATCATACTGGAAAAACAAATACATTAAAATGATTGATGTGTACTATTATAGTAACTCATTTACTGACAAATATATTAAGATCTTTACTAAATAAATAGTTCAGTGTTTTCAAATGGTAATATGAGAACATTGAAGAAAATTGGAAAAAATCAGGGGAAGTAGTTTATCTTAACCTTACCAACTTTGAATATCAAATGGGGTTGAGAGGGATGGGGGAAAATGATGAAAGAGGTGAAACTGATCATGATGGTATTATATTCACAATCAGCCTGGTTGAATGGCAACTCTCCCGTACAATTACTTAAAGCTACTGAACATAAATTAAAATAGTAAAAATACTTTTAGATTATCATTTTGTCAAAGTTCCGAGACATCTATAGTTAGATGATTGCAACATAATTTCCATCAATAAATTAAAATCTAAAGTAAGTTTTGAGGGAAATAAAGGAACTGTGATAGATAATTGTAGCATGTATTTTGATATTTAAAGTTAATTGAATTCTTTTATTAGTGCTTATAACATTGAATATACTGGGTACTAGTGGCTCACACCTGTAATTCTAGCTAAGGAGGCTGAGATCTGAGGATCAGGGTTCAAATCTAGCCTGGGCAGGAACATCTGTGAGACTCTCTCTCTCCAATATTCTCTCCAATTAACCATTAGAAAATTGGAAGTAAAGCTATAGTTGAAAGTGGTAGGCTAGCCTTGCGAAAGAGCTCAGCAACAGCAACCAGGCCCTAAGTTCAAGTCCTACGACCCACAAACAAAAACAAAAACAAAAAACAAAAATTGAATATGATATACCTTAAATTTTTTCCGGAGGTCTTTTTCTTCCTTTTCCTGCTTTTTTAGCTTCTTAAGGTCCTTTTCTTCAGTCTTGGGCTTTCCAGTGTTGATTGCTTGACTTGGGTAGCACATAAAAACATAAACAAAATTTTGTAGAGATTTAACTAAATATTCAGGTCTTGCTCAACATTATTTTAATTATTCTTAGAAACCCAGTACCATTCATTATAATAAATAATGACCCTTCATAATATGGAAAGGATTTAAAAGATAATACTAATTATGAGTCACAATGGAAGTAAGAGATTCTCTTAATGAATCCTATAAAATATCTGTGCAGTACACAGTGGTTTTGTGATTTAATCTATACTTAAACTTCCTATATATTCAAACTTTCCTAAAGGAGTAAATCCAAAATTAATTGGCTAATGCCAATTAATGCTGGGAGAACTTTTGGGCATTTACCCAAATGATCACAAACAAGGCCATTCTGAAGCTACCAGTACAACTATTTTTATTGCAGCATTATTTACTATACTAAGATATGGAACTAACCAGATGCCCCTCAGTAGATGAATGGATCAAGAAAATGTGATAGATATATATAATATATCTATATCTATATCTATCTATATATCTACTATAGATATAGATATGGAATTCTATGCCTCCATCAGAAATAATGACACTGCCTCATTTGTTAGGAAATGGAAAGACTTGGAAAAAATTATATTAAGTGAAGTAAGCCAGGTCCAAAGAAACATAGGTCCCATGGTTTCCCTTATTTGCAATAACTAGTATATGTCTAGAAAAGGTCAAAAGCTATTTGTATATGACCATATAAGATGATGCTAAGAAAAATGAACCCCAAGATAGGGACACAAGAGGTTTTATCTTTGTTGCTGTTGTTTTTAATGTACTTATAATGTACTGTGTGATTTTTTTGTTTCTCTTGTATGTTCTTCCCCCATGGTATAATCCCTATTTTGACTGTATTTGATTCCAGTGTCCTGCATCTTGTATATACATTTTTCTAATTTGGGGAGGGGAAGGGAAATAACAAAATGTTAAAATAAGGATACAGGTTGATCCATTGTAACAATGAGATATACAAGATACTATGTTGAAAACGAACTTTACAGCTTAGGGGGTGGGAGTGGGGGGAGGGAGAAGCTGGGGAGGTGAGGAGGGAAGAGATGGTAGGGGAAAAACAAAGGAGGGGTAACTATGCTCGGTAAGAAATGTACTCATAACCTTACTCATGTAACTGTAACCCCTTTATACAGTATCTTTGCAACTATAAATGTGTGTGTGTGTGTGTGTGTGTGTGTGTGTGTATACATATATATATATATATAAAAGAATATTAGGGAAGTGGCGCTGAGGCTCAAGTGGTAGAGCACTCGCCTTGAGCTGAAGAGCTGAGGGACAGCGCCCAGGCCCAGAGTTCAAGCCCCACGACTGACAAAAAAAAAAAAAAATTAGGAGGGGATAAAAAAGAAAATGCTGGGAGACGTAGTTCAAATAGAATGGTACATATTAAGTGATTTATGTAACTGTAACCCCTCTCTATATCAATGTACAATACAAATAAAAATAAATTAAAAATTGATTTTAAGGCTTCTAAACCATATTGGTGGTTAACATTTTCATATCTATTTAAAGTAGATCCAGCAAGGTAAAGATTGTAGCTTGATGGTAGAGTGCTTGTCTCATTTGTATAGAGCACTGGGTTTGGCTCCTAGAAACAGAATAAATAAACAGACAACTAAGCAAGTAAATACACTAAATGGAGTCAGAGTAAGAGGAAAGAATTGTTGGTTAATAAAAAAAACAAACAAACTTAGGAGCAGGGCATTGACGGCTCACACCTCTAATCCTAGCTATTCAGGAGGCTGAGATCTGAGGATCCAGGTTTAAAGCCAGCCTGGGCAGAAAGTCCATGAGACTCTTATCTCCAATAAACCATCTGAAAACCAGAAGTGGTGCTGTGGCTCAAGTGGTAGAGCGCTGGCCTTGAGCTGAAGAGCTGAGGGACAGCCCAGAGTTCAGGTCCCACGACTGACAAAAACAAAACAAAACAAACAAACAAACAAAAAAACCTAGGTAAAATTAAGATCTTAAATACTGCATACGAGATATTTCTTCAAGAATATAGCTAATGCTCATTCTTATCTTAATTGCTTTATTAAATTATCCACTTGAATGTGTGTATGAGAAAGCTACATTCTTTTTCTTAAAATTTTTATTTATTTTTTATTGTGAAAATACTGTACAGAGGGTTTACAATTACATGGGCAAGATAATGAGTACATTTCTTATCAAGCATTGTAGCCTCCTCCTTTGTTTCCCCTTCCCATCCCTTCCCATCCCCCCCACCTCCCTACCCAATCCTCCCCCCCCCCCCACACACCAAAGTTGTAAAGTTCATTTTCCACATAACGACTTGTACTTCTCTTTGCTGCAACGGGTCCACCTGTATCCTTATTTAAACAACTTGTTTTCCCTTTCCCCTCCACAAATTATACTGACATCAAATACAGTGAAAGCAGGGGTTATACTGTGGGGGAGGGACATACAAAACAACAAAGAAATTATCTTATAAATGCGTTAGAAACAATCGCATGAAAGAAGAAAAAAACATTTGAATACATATCGTAGGGTTCATTTCCCTAACATCACCTTATCTGACCTTTTCTGCTTAAGGGAAACCATGGGACCTATGTTTCTTTGGGCTTGGCTTACTTCACTTAATATAATTTTTTCCAAGCCTTTCCATTTCCTAACAAATGAGGCAATGTCATTCTTTCTGATGGAGGCATAGAATTCCATTGTGTATATATACCACATTTTCTTGATCCATTCATCTACTGAGGGGCATCTGGGTTGGTTCCATATCTTAGCTATAGTAAATAATGCTGCAATAAACATAGTTGTGCTGGTAGCTTTAGTGTGGTCTTGTTTGTAAACATTTGAGAAAACGCCCAAAAGTGGGATTGCTGGGTCATAGGGGAGTCTTTTGAGGAACCTCCATACTACTTTCCAAAGTGGTTGTACAAGTTTACACTCCCACCAACAATGAAGTAAAGTTCCCTTCTGTCCACATCCCCTCCAGCATCTGTTGTTATTAGAGTTCTTGATTTTTGCCATTCTAACTGGGGTGAGGTGGTATCTTAATGTTGTTTTGATTTGCATTTCTCTTATGGCTAGGGAGGTTGAGCATTTCTTCATGTGTCTATTGGCAGCTACATTCTTTTTTAAAATTATATTTTTATTACCTTTAAGTAGTTGTACAAAGGAGTTGCCATTCAACAAACCAGTTTCTAAATACAATGCATCTTGATTAATATCATCCCAAGAAAAATATATTCTAAGTGCTTTACTCAATTAACGGATTTAAAATTTGAAAAATGATGCCTCAGTCTAGACACTGACTGCATCTCACCATGTCAAATGGACTATAAATGATCGCAACAGAAATGAACAAGCCAAGTTAGTACTTCTGCAGCCTGTTTCACCAAGGGTCATCTGAGAAAGAGCTTTTTCAAATATAATGCCCTTGCCTAGTTCCTAGAAATTCTAGTTTAATTACGATTAGTTGATTTTAAATTCTAGATTGAACATTTTCAGTGCATACATACATATTTAAGAATCTTTCCAAGCTGGGCACTGGCGGCATATGCTTATAATCCTAGTTCCTCATGAGGATGAGATCTGAGAATCAAAGTTTGAAACCAATCCAGGAAGAAATATCCAAGATACTCTATATTCAATTAGCTACAAAGAGCCTGAAAATCTAGCTATAACTCAAGTGGTAGAACCCCAGTTTTAGGCAAAAAAGCTGAGGGACAGTGCCTAGGTCTTGAGTTCAAGCCTCAGTACCGGCACACACAGACAAAATTAAATTTTCTCTATTGTCACTAATTTATAACTAGAGTTGATATCTATTCCCTAGGGTTAGGGATGGATGTCAGAGAAAGGCTGTGAATCCATGGAGAAGGGGTTTTAACAAACAAACAAATTAGAATATACAAACTAAAACACTTGTGAATAGGATACAAGTTAAATAGTGATTTTTAAGAAGATTATCTAAGATGAAGCTTTATTTGTGGTTTATTTAACATGTGCAATATGACATTTTTGATCCTCACTATTCACTTTGCTCACTGTGAAAAGAATGAGCACACTGCCTTTTCCCAGGTTCTGATTCTGCTCTCAGGACCTCCTGCCCTAGAGGGTTCTGGGACTTGGGCAATTGCTAACTCAGATTAGCTCTTTGAGACTAGCAGATGATATATGAATGTTAAAAATGCTCCACAAGCTATCTGTGAAAATAACTTATTGAAAGTGATAGAATACACTGATAATAAACAAATGGTTTCTATCAGATCCAGTTCAATCAGTTGGAATTTGTTTTGCTAGGAGAAAAGGTCCTGTGAGTGAGGGGGTTCTGGTAGAGCTGGTTTAGAGGATGTGGTAGTATTTCTACAATAATGTAAATCAGAAAAAGGCATCAGAAACTATCAGAGATAAGAACAGCTTCCTGATGGTGAGGAATATTAAAATGGGAAGGTGTTACTGAACAGTCTATTTTTCTCTCTTGAAGACCTGAAATGGGGGCGGGGGACGGGAATCTCTTTCCAATTTTTTTGTTTTGTCTGTAGAAATTGACCTTCATATATGAATGACTGTGGAGTTTGTCCTCAGGTTCTTTCCTGGTGAAACTGTGTGGATAGCTCAGTAAAAATAAATACTTGGAGTTCTCTCAGGCATTCCTTATTTCCCTTCATCACCCCACCCCACTCCCTAACCCTCTCCTGCATTCTTTTTTTTTTTTTTTGGTCGGTTGTGGGGCCTGAACTCTGGGCCTGGGCACTGCTCCTCAGCTGAAGGCTCAAGGCTAGTGCTCCACCACATGAGCCACAGCACCACTTCCGGCTTTTTCTGCTTATGTGGTGCTAAAGAATCGAACCCAGGGCCTCATGCATGCAAGGCAAGCACTCTACCACTGAGCCACCTTCCCAGCCCCTCTCCTGCATTCTTAAAGTATAGCTCAGAAGGCTCTACTGCCTGTGTCCCTTTGTGTTACCTTTGTCCTATAACAGTTAAATACACCATAATTTTTTATTCTTTTCTTTTTTCAAGTTACAGGAGTGTTCCTACTTTTATACACAGTATATAGCAACCACCTCATGTATTTATTGGAATATGAGAAAACATCCTACGATATTATGTTCCACCTGAAAGACTTTTCAATACTGTTTTATTAACCAATGTTAACAAATTTTAAGCGAGAATTAAGTTGAAATGTCAGGTCAGCTGAAGAAAGTTACTGTCAACTTAGAAAATTTGAATGAAATTGATGAGAATCTGATACTTTTGTGAGAAAAATTACACTGTAAATTCCTTTAAAACCACAAAAAGGTGGAGATGGAGCTGTGGCTCAAGTGGTAGAGTGCCAGCTTTCAGTGGAAAAGCTAAGGGACAGCGTCTAGGTCCTGAGTTCAAGCTCCCATATCAGCATTAAAAACAACAACAAAAACCATGAAAACAAACTCCAAATCCTTCCTTCTTCCACAAAGAAAACCAATGTAGTAGAGATTGAGGTGCTTTGAACAGGAAGATGAGGGCTGAGATATAAAAGAAGTATACTGAAGACAGAAATTGCTTGAGGAAAAGGATAAGAATAAAAAGGGGAGATGATTCACTGAGATCTTTTGTGACCAGATTATCATATATAGTTTGCCAATGAGTGAGTAAACTAATGAATGCAGACAATAGTGAATCCCTAGCAGGGGTTACTCAGGGAACAAGGATCAGTACTAGAAAACCAAGGGAAGGGGACTGAGGCGAGCAGGAAGAAGGGTTGTGGTAGAGAGGAGATTTAGGACAATTGGCTCATACATGTAGCAGAAAAGTTAGAGCTGGGTTCACAAAGAGTCACATTTGGCCAAGTGAGGTCGTTCATGTCTGCTATCAGGAGGTAAAGATCAGAAGGATAGTAGTTCAGGTGAGCCCAGGTAAAACAAACAAACAAGTAAACAAAGATTTCATCTTAAGCTGGGAGTGGTGGTATGTATCTATCAACTAAGGTATGCAGGAGTTATAAATAGGAAGACCACTGGCCAGGCAGAAACATGAGACCCTATCCAAATAAAGAATGAAAGACTGGGAAGGCATGGTGGGAAAGTATTTGCTGAGTAAGCACCCAACAGTACTGTCAACAACAACAGCAGCAGCAACAAAAGCCTCTGGAAAAAAAGAAAGTCAAAAGAAAAATAATATTAGAAGGAAGAAAGAACAAAATGGTTGCATACATAGACAAGTGTCCCATAAGGTTGTTATGTTGGTTGCAATTTCCTGTATAATCTCATGTTAATACTTCATTGTAATGAAAGCATTTTAATTACCATATCTCTGCTGGTGGAGGAGGAAAATCAGAGGCATCCACGTCATCATAAACTTCTTCTCCAATGTCTAGCAAAAGATAAAATATCAAAGCTTGAGATACAGTCAATTTAATTAATTAATTAATTTTTTATTTTTTGTTGGTCATGGGGCCTGAACTCTGGGCCTGGGCAATGTCCCTCAGCTCTTTAGCTACCACTCAGCCACCTTCCCAGGCCCTAATTTTTTTTTTTTTTTTTTTTGAGACAGCATTTCTTCTATGTAGTTTGGTATTGTCACAAACTCACTATAAACCCAGACTGGCCTTGAACTCACGATCCTCCTTTCCCTGACTCCCGAGTGCTGGGATTATGTATAGTATAACCAGATTAAATTTTTTTCCTTTTTTCTTTTTATTGTGAAATACTGTACAGAGGGGTTACAATTACATGGGCAAGATAATGAGTACATTTCTTTCCCTTGGGTCAGGTCGTGGGGCCTGAACTCTGGGCCTAGGTGCTGTCCCTCAGCTCTTCGGCTCAAGGCTAGCGCTCTACCACTTGAGCCACAGCACCACTTCCAGCTTTTTTTTTTTTTTTGCTTATGTGGTGCTGAGGAATTGAACCCAGGGCTTCATGCATGCAAGGCAAGTGCTCTACCTCTGAGCCATCTTCCCAGCCCAATGAGTACATTTCTTATCAAGCATTGTAGCCTCCTCCTTTGCTCCTTTGTTTCCCCATCCCATCCCTTCCCATCCTCCCCTTCCTCACCCCCCTCCACCCAATACTCCTCCCCCCCACCAAAGTTGTACAGTTCGTTTTCGACATAACGACTTGTACATCTCATTGTTGCAATGAGTCCACCTGTATCTCTATTTAAACGATTTGTTTTTTCCCAATTTTGATGTGAACAGTCACTGATGTTTTTAATACAAAGCTGCCTCTTGGACAGTAAGGAAGATTTCCTGGAATCTACATACATTTCTCTGAGAACCATGGTTTCTCACAGGGAGAGGTTTTCATTTCTAGGTATGTTCAATTTCTCTCAAAACCAAAAAAATCAAATCATGGCCATGATTATAACAATCAATATCTAGAAGAAAAAAACAAATCATGGAGCATGACTGATGATATGAACATGCACAGGGGTGAGGAATGGATAGGATGGATGGATGAATTGGTGGTGGCAGCATTAGTAAATTGTAGATAAAGTGTCTGAAGACAGAAACTGCTTGAAGAAAAGGATAAGAATAAAAAGGGGAGATGATTCACTGAGATCCTCAGATAGTATTGACCTTACCAGTGGAAAGTGGAGATTGAAGTTCAAATTCATTTGGGGTTTGGAATATTGTGATAACATATACCATCCTGTTTATCTATCTATATCTTCCTCTTTCTTTCTTTTTCTCCTTCCTTCCTTCCTTCCTTTCTTTTTCTTTCTTTCTCCCTCTCTCTCTCTTTCTTCCTTCCTTCCTTTCCTTCTTCCCTTCCTTTGTTCTTTTTTCCTTTCCCTCCCTCTATCCCTTCCTTCCTATATTCTGTTTTACTTGTTGATCTCTTTCTCACTGATTTTAATATTACCGTGATATTAAGACTACATTGCTTTCAAACTCCCTCCCTTCCTTCATCCCTTTATCTCTACATTCTTTTTTGTCATTCTGCTCCTCATTAATTTTAATATTACAGGGATATTAAGACTGTATCACTTTCAGACCAAAAGATTATTTCTACAGATATTTCAGAGACCAGTAGGTGATGAGATACAGTTTTGGCAGAAAACCCACTCAATGATCTTTTCAGTGTGTAGATATGTTTCTTTCTTCTAGACTTCTTATAAAGTTAGGAAGAATGTTCCCTCTCTATGCTCAATATGCTCCACAACAAACTAAGTTGAACAATAAGTTTTAAAAAATTGCAAAAAATTTAGGAACGATTATCAGAAAATTTAAATGCTCTCTAGTGTACAACGAATCACTGTATTTCTCTTTCTGTGAATAAATTCCTTAATTTCACAAGTTTTAACTTTTCTGAGCTATATGAAAAATTTGTAATATTTCAAAAGGGTAAAAATTGCCATTTCATTCAAATACACTTGAAACACATTTGAGAACAACAGAAACAACAAACCACAAAACCCACATTAAAAAAATGAATTGAGTACATTTGTTCTACTTCTTGACTGCTCTTTGCAGCATCAGTTTGTATTGATTATGTGTTATATTGATTATGATGCAAGCATACCATCAGGCATAGATCAACTTAAGTTAGTAGGTCCTTACATTTTTTTTTTCAAACTCATAAATGCAAACCAAGTTCTGATGTCAGTTAATGACTGAAAGAATAGATGACCTCGGTGTTTACTTGATCTTTTAGTATATTTATAAATACGAAAAAATAAGCTCTTTGAAAGCCCTTGAATATTCTTGGCTGACAAATATTTTAGTTTGTTCAGATTAAAGTTAAAAATAGTCTTTGGAAGATCTGTCTCAGCAGAGGTGAAAAGGAAGCTGCCTGAAACTATACAAAGAAAAAAAAAGCATTGCTATATTAAACATCTCCAAGTACAATCTGAACTAGATTTGTGAAAAATGAATGAGTTTGGGTGGGAGCCATGGTGGGTGTTGATGTTCTTCATTTGCCACATATCCATAATACCATAATAGTTGCTGGAAGAACACTTTTAAAGCCATATGTCTTTAAAAAGTTTTCTCATTCTGCTTTATTATGAGCAATGGTGGCCATCCATGGTGAAGCGACTTGCCTAAAGTAGCATTGTTTTTTGAATCAAGCCAGGTTCTGGTGGATCTGAGGATTGTGATTCAAAGCCAGCCTGGGCAGGAAACTCTGGGAGACTATTATCTTCAATAAACTGGAAATGGTGCTATAGCTCAAAGTGGTAAAGCACTAGCCCTGGGCAAAAAAAGCTCAGGGACAGTGCCCTGGCCCAGAGTTCAAGCCCCATGGCCAGTTTTTTTTTTTTTTAAAGACATATTTCAACCATGTCCAGTGCTTCCTACTATCCTACCTTCAAGAAGTAAAGATGTAAGATATACAATCTGTTTTTTAAAATTACTTACTCGGGCTGGGAAGGTGGCCTAGTGGTAGAGTGCTTGCCTAGCATGCATGAAGCCCTGGGTTTGATTCCTTAGTACCATATACACAGAAAAAGCTGGAAATGGTGCTGGGGCTCAAGTGGTAGAGCGCTAACCTTGAGCAAAAGAAGCTTAGGCACTGAGTTCAAGCCTCAGGCCTGGAAAAAAATAAATAAAAGAAATTACTTACCCAGTTGTTTAGGAGGAGATGGGAAACTAGAAAGAAAATGAGAATAAAATTATAATCAGAGTAATATAAACCTGAAAATGAATTCCTTTATGTAGGCTAGGTATAAATGGGCAATAGCCCAGAGGCATAAAGTGGTGGTTAATTATCTATTGATCAGCATTCCTTTCTTATCCTCCACTTTCCACTCAGTTAGTTTCTTTCCATCAGTTTGGTATTGGGCAGACTATTTCTTGAATCCCAATGCTGACTCCCCCAAATATCAAGAGTCAAGAAATTACTCAGTTGGTTTATTTTTCTCACAGCCATTAAGCCAATGTTTTTCAGATCTGTTCTGAAGTTTGGGAATCTTCTCACAGCAGAGTAAATTAAATGGATTCTTTATTTTGGAGTTCTTGTACCATATACAGGTCTGGCTGGAAACTGCTCATTTGTACTGAAAGAGGTCATAGGAATATGACCAAGTTTTTCCATATGCACATAGTTACCCTGAACAAGGAAAATGGAGAATAGGAAAGGAATAACCACCTAGGGTGAAAGCTTATGGACAGAGTCATATGAAACTAGGATTAAGTGGAATTTAGTTGCCACAGAAAAAGACCATTGTATTTGTTACTTCCTGAGTTATGACTGCTAACTATACACACATACAGAAACACAAAACACACCTCTGAACACAGGACAAGAATGACGGGTTAAAGTAGAGTTTGAAGGATCATTAATCCAAGTGACTCAAAACCAGAATTAGATGGTGTGAAACTGAAGCAGAAAAGAACAACCTTCTTTCCAAGTCAAGATTATGTGTTATATGTGATGTTCAAGAAGACCTGGTGTGGTGTTTCCTTAAAATTTCCAGTATATCATTTACTGACTGCTATTTACAAAAGGGTTAGAAATGAGGAATGCTATTTGAAATGAAAAACTTACAAAAACCCTTTTTTAAAATGTGGTGACATTAAGTACACATAAAAGAGAAAGTTTTGAGTTTTTTTGTCATGAAACATGATTCAGATCTTTTCAACTCATATGAAAGGAATTTGTGCCAGAGGGTAAATTCGAGGGGGGGGGGTGTAGGGGAAAGAATGGAAAAAGAAAGTTCAATCTCAGTTTTTATTTAGACAAATGAGATACTGAGAATAATTTTAGCATAGGGGAAGTGTAATTCGAATGGAATTAATGTATCATTATAATGGAACAGTTAGAAAAACTGTAGGTACTATGTTCCAGGAAAATGAAAACTCTTGTCCTACATTTCTAGTGGGGTGTTTTGTTTTTGTAAGCAAATCTGTGGTTTAAAGCATACTCACAGTAAAATACTATGCAGTTGCATATAGTACTGGAATTAAAACTGTAACATTTAGATGTGATATTGAAGTTAAGAAAGTCCTACTCAAGGGGCAGTGTTTGTGAATGAATGTGTGTCTGAATGTATGAGAAACAGTAAGCCTATGTATACATGGGTGTTTTCACACAAGTTCATGGGAAAAGAAAAAAATATTGAAACACATGATGCTTCTTAAATAATTGGGGTCCTTTATGCAACGAATGCATGGGTTTAAAATCAATCTAAGATGATTAATAGAAAAAGAACATTAAGATGGTCTCAGCCTACTAGGATTTGATTATTGGTTATAAAATATTAGTAGTATTAAATTAAATTAATGTTAGTAGAGCTATTGTGCACTGAATTTGGTTGGTTGGCTCTTACGATGAACCTTCATTATTGTCTGACTCAGAGACTTTAGGTTTCTTTCGAATACTTTTCTTTGTGTCATCTTTTCCCTTTAACTTCTTCAAAATCCCCCAGGACCACATGCTAATCTTCTCTTCATCCTGTAGTGTGGAACTTCGGAGCATGCAGGCATTGATCAGAATGTAATAATCAGTAGAATGGGAAAACATTGTGTGGACATTCAGATTTTTAATAATTCAAGTGCATGGATCATTCAGGCAGTAAATTATTCAGAGAATTAAACAAAATGGTGCTATTAAGCTCATATATCACAACTTCTGAATACTGTTGTTACTAGGAGAGTTTTGTTTGTAATACTTAGGGAGATTTTTTTGGTTCTTAAAATATGAAGTTAAGTCAGGAGTCAATTTCAAATAACAACTCAGTATTGCTTATGATTACAATCAAGCTAATTGGTACATCTTAAAAATATAAATGTGAGAAGAGAAATTTTATTATTAATCTAAAAGACTATTTTATAAATTATTCTTACAAATATAAAGAGATTTCATTTTAAGGTAGACGATTACATATTCAGTATCAGTTCTGTCACTTATAACAACAGGTCTCTGTGGTAGAGAAAACAAATAGCAATTGTGTTGTTATATAAGAAATAGCCATATAAGTGACAAATTCTCTAGAGATTTTTATAAAAATAAACGACTGGCCGAACACTAGTGGCTATAATCGCACATACTCAGGCAGCTGAGAGCTGACGATGATGGTTCAAAGCCAGCAGACAAGTCTCTGAGACTCTTTAATTAACCAGCAAAAAGGGAGAAGCAGGCCTGTGGCTTAAGTGGTAGAATACCAGCCTTGAGAAAAAAAGCTATGGAATAGTGCCAAGGCCCTGTGTTGTCGCCCAGCAAAAAATAGACCAAAACTACTGTTTGATAAAGAAATTATTGGAAAATTTTTGGGAAAATAGCTGCAACCCCTATACCTTATTCCTTCTTCCTATTGCTTCTTTTGCCTTAGTGACATTCTTGCAAACAATGCACCATTTCATTTGAAGTGTGCTGCAGTCACACACTTAATTTACTATTGTTATTAAAAACACAGAAATCATTTTGGAATGTAATTAAAAGCACCTTTTTTACTTTTTAATCTAGCTGGAAATCAAAACTAAATATATGTATATTCTATTTTGCAGAATAGTGATTCAGTATTATTCTCACCCATCGTGAGCATCTTGGTCTTCTATTCCATCATAAATGTCATCATCTGGTTCCACTGGGAATATCCCTTCATTTGAAGTAAGGAGAAAAATCTTCTGTTAATTTTATAAATCAGTCACATAGAGGTCACAGATTTGGATAATAATCTTGCTATTTGATTTCTTAGTAAATATTTAAATAAACCTTCTATTCCTCCACTCTCAGAACATAGGTAAAATAATTGTTTTAAAATCATTTTGTAAAAATTTTAGAGCTGAAATTATAAAAAAGGAACTAGGTAGGCACCCTGGACTTATGATGGGAAAGGGCAAAATAGGCATTAGACAAGGTAAAACTGCACAGTAGATAGACTAGATATTTACCATGGAAAAAAAGAAGTGAGGAAGTGATAAGAAAGCTTTAGTTAAGGGGGCTGGGAAGGTGGCTCAGTGGTAGAGTGCTTGACTCCTCAGCACCACATAAGCAGAAAAAGCTGTAAGTGGCGCTGTGGCTCAAGTGGTAGAGTGCTAGCCTTGAGCTGAAGAGCTAAGGGACAGTGCCCAGGCCCAGAGTTCAAGCCCTAATCCTCTCTCCCTCCCTTCCCCCCAAATTAGTTAACAATGAGTGAGTAGATAGAAAATGATAGTAATCAAGATAGTGAAGAAAATCAAATGGGATGAAAAGTAATCTGTAAACATCAATGATAGATGAAGAAATAAAAGGTGACATTTAGTATATCCAGTTTCAGATTAAAAAACTCTTGCTTCCTTTCATTCCTTATGCTATGCTCTTCAGGAATCCTGCTGTTTGACAAACATTTATTGATCAAATATTTATTGTGCACCTCCCATGAGGAATATGTATAGTGACCTTGAAATTTATTTTTTAGTAGAAAAATTTGAGCCTTTGAAAAGATTGGTTCAAATTCCTCAAATTATTGCTGGAAATCTAGCTATGGTCAGGGCAGTCTTGTAAACTGTCATCCATACAAGGACATTTCAGAATGTGACACAGATACTTAGGATACATGGGATGTGGGGTCAGTCCAGGATCCATAACAGACTCAGAATAAAAAGGTGACTCTGCTCATCAGGTCTAACCAGAATACAGGCCGTTGACTCATAGACCCATAATTTTTATCCACTGAGTTTCCCCTCATTTTTGACAAACAAAAATGTCATAATATACTCATAAATGGGAAAGACTTGTGAAGAAACTTGTAAGCAATAATGAGTGCATGGCTTACCTCCACTCCCACTGTGACTGTGGCTAGGAAAAAAAAATCAGAAATATTTAATATATTTAATATATATAGCTCTCAGAAGGACAGTGTATAAAAGATGAATGACATTCTAAGTAAAAGTTATTAGGTGAAGAGAACGATTTTTTTTTTTTGTTAGTTGTGGGGCTTGAACTCTGGGCTTGGGCACTGTTGCTGCGCTCTTCAGATCAAGGCGAGCGCTCTACCACTTGAGCCACAGCACCACTTCCAGTTTTCTATTGGTTTATGGGAGATAAGAGTCTCACCAACTTTCCTGCCCAGGCTGGCTTTGAACAGCGATTCTCAGATCTCAGCCTCTTGAGTAGCTAGGATTACAGGCGTGAGCCACCGGCGCCGGCTAAATGGTTTTTTGTTTTTTTTTTTTTAAATCACAATAGAAGCTCAACACCAAGGCAACATGATAAACAATTGAAAAAGGAATCAAGTTATAGCACTACTTATAATACTCAAAACAACAATTTTACTGTTTGCTTTTAACACTTTCCCATGAAGCAGTTTTCAAATTCTATGTTACATCATTCCTAGATAGACCACTAAAATACCAGCAGAGTCATATTGTGCAATTACCATTGCATTAAATTCAATTATCTCCCATTATCTTATAGCCACACTATTTTAATCTGAGTCTGATTTCTATTTAAAATAGAAATCTTCATTTTTTTTTTAATATAGCATGGTTCATGGTTCCTAATTCTAGAAAGCTAGTTTATTTATATTTTTATTTACTTCCATAATATTCTGTATTTTTACTGTTTCCATTTTTTTGTTTGTTTTTGTTGGCAGTGGGGCTTTAACTCTGGGCCTTGGCGCTATCCCTGAGCTCTTCAGCATAAGGCTAGTGCTCTACCACTTGAGCCACAGTGCCACTCTGGTTTTCTGGTGGTTTATTGGCGATAAGAGTCTCACAGACTTTTCTGCCCAGGCTGGCTTTGAATGGTGATCCTCAGATCTTAGCCTCCTGAATAGCTAGGATTATGGGCGTGAGATACCAGTACCCAGCTAAGTATTTCAGTTTTAATAACAATCTGTTTTAGCCCTTATCTCCTGCTTCAGAGTCAGTTCTCTGAGAAGAAGGAACACACGGATGATGAGGAAATATCTCAGGAGTCATCTATCTGCTCAAGGCTCTCATTTTACAGAAAAGAAAGTCACATTCTAAAAAATTCAGTGACATGACCAGAATTGCCCAGATCCTCGGCTGCACCCCTCTAATTTTGGCCTTTGCATCATACATGAGCAACAGATACCAGTTTGATGTTACAACCATCCAGGAAAATTATGTATTCATACCTGATTCCTTAATGTTAAAAGCCAAGCAGAAAAGACTTATCTGATACAAATTTTCAGTTAATAAAACCATAGTGTGGCCAAAGAAGCTTTGTAGAAAAGTATGCTATGGACATTGTGTTTAATAAAGAGGAAATTTGTGAATAAATGGAAGTACAGTTTCTTCTTGCTTATGTGACCATTTTATATCCATTTTCCCTGGGACCTCTCTCTGTGCATATATACATATATATGATGTGTACATATGTGTATATAAGTGCACACATATAATATGGCAATAAACAAAATCAAGAACAAAAAAAAAAAAAAAAAAAAAAGAAGTCGGTATTAGAATTAGTTACATCTCAGATGGTTATTTTCCTGGCAAGTATGATTCCTTTTGGAGGGTCTCATACCCAAACTCTATTTATTTTTAGTTTTATTATTTAGTAGATGTACAAAGAGGTCGCAATTTCATAAGTCATATTATGAGTACACTGCTTATTGGTCAAGGTCACTCTTCATCATGTCCCCTCTTTCATTCTTTGTTTTTTTTTGGGTCCGGTCGTGGGGCCTGAACTCTGGGCCTGGGCGCTGTCCCTCAGCTCTTCAGCTCAAGGCTAGCGCTCTACCACTTGAGCCACAGCACCACTTCCGGCTTTTTTCTTTTTGCTTATGTGGTGCTGAGGAATTGAACCCAGGGCCTCATACACGCAAGGCAAGCGCTCTACCACTGAGCCACCTTCCCAGCCCCCCCTCTTTCCTTCTTACCCTCAAGTTATGTGGTTTATTTTTACACAGTGTACATTAAATATAATGACTGCATTTGCTCACCTGTCCTCCCTCTATTTGTATGCCTCCCCTCACTTGCTCCTCCCCCAACACGTGTCTGCTTCCTTGTATTCATTTGGATAAACAATTAATTGTTCAGAGGCATTACACCTTTGGATTCCTCCTCTAAGTATATCATCCTTCAGTCAGTTTGTCTGTATGTATATGAATATGATCCTGTACACATTATAAATCTAGCTTGTAGAGAAGCATGAGCCGTTTGTCTCTCTGAGTCTGAGTTACTTCACTTTATATTTTTTTTCTATTAAAGCCATTTTTTAAAATGCTATCCTGGGGCTTGAACTCATGGCCTGGGCACCTGTCCCCAAGCCTCTTTGTGCTCAAGACTAGCACTCTACCACTTGAGCCACCGTGCCACTTCCAGCTTTTTCTGGGTAGTTTATTGAAGATAAAGAGTCTTGTAGACTTTTCTGCCTGGGTTGGCTTGGAATCACCACCTGCAGATCTCAGACTCCTGAGTAGCTAGGATTGCAGGTGTGAGCCACTGGAGCCTGGATCACACTCAAATCTTAAAGAACAAAGTTGTCAAGAAAAAATAAGATACAAAACTGTCACCCATTTATTATTTTTTTGTAAAGCAATTCTTCAACTTCCTTATACAGTTTATCTATAGTGTAAAACATTTGACAGGTAATAGCAAAGTGATTAGAGGAAAAAATCTGGGTGGGGACAGTATGTGTTTGTTGAGAGAGGAGAGAGAGAGAGGGGAGGGGAGAGAGAGGAAAGCTTGCTGTGTGGTAGAAGAGAGATCCTTGCAGATATAATTTCCTTTCTTACCATGTTTCACAGTCATTACAGGTACTTTCATTAAGAAGAAAGAGGGAAGTATAGCTATCAGGGTCCACAAGTTTTTGTAAATTTTTAACATTGTTATTATAAAAGCAATGTACAGAGGGGTAACATGAGTAGGTAATGAGTTCATTTCTTTTTGGACAGTGCTATCTCTTCCCATACTCTCTCCCAGTTTTTCCCCCATATCCTTGCCCGCAAGTTGTATAGTTCATTTTCAACACATTGTATAGTGAATACTACTTCTGCATTTGCTCATCCATTGTCTCTCTTATTTCCATTTCCTAGGCCTGGCATTTTTTAAGCCTTATTCTGCTCTCAGATTTGAAGCACACATCATTTCTCTCATGCTAGGGGAATTGGGAAAGAGCAGGTGGGGAATTTGAGGGTGCAGGTGGCATAAGAAGAGGACAGAGACAAGATGGAACCTTTTCTTATTCCTGCCAGGTAAAGCAGCTGGCTACGTTTGCCATCTACTCTGTCTACTAAGAACAAGATCTGTTTGTGATGAGTACTGTTCTGGCAGCAGCTGTTGGTTTTTAAGCCAAACATGTATAGAAGCAGTTTCCTTCTTAATTTTCTTATTAAATATGAGCCCAAGAAGATGGATGTTAGCCAGAATTATGACACTATGCTTCTCATTAAGTAAAACATTGTCTTTTTTGTGCTCCATGTTTATGAGTTATGATATATATGGGCTTTATAAAATTGAAAAAGGTAATAGCAACAGTTCTGGGTTATGTTAAATATCAGTTATGGTTAAGTAATTTTTTAAAAAAGAATGTTGTTCCTACCAGTAGCTCCGGTCTATAATCTTAGTTACTCCGAGGTTGAGATCTGAGGATCAAGTTTTAAGATCGGCCTGAGTAGGAAAGTCCAGGAGACTTTCATGTCAAATTAATCAGCAAAGGGCTGATTAAAGGTGGCTCAGTGGTAGAGCTCTTGCCTTGCATGCATGAGGCCCTGGGTTCGATTCCTCAGGACCACATAAGCAAAAAGAAAAAAGCCAGAAGTGGCGCTGTGGCTCAAGTGGTAGAGCATTGGCCTTGAGCAAAAAAGCTAAAGGACTCTGCCCAGACCCTGAGTGTAAACCACAGAACACACACACACACACACACACACACACACACACACACACACACACACACACACACAAGAAATGTAATTTCTTTTTGTAAGTTTATTTTTACTCGTACACATACCAGTACAAATCTGTCTTTATTAATACAAGTGGAACTCTTTAAGCCCTCCAAAAGGAATAAATGAAAAATAAAGTATATTAAAATGAAGTCAACATTTCTGGACATACTGACATCCAGAAAATTCTGTAAATTGTAGAATATAACTGCTTAGAATTTCATCTGAACCCTTATAACTGGAATTTACTAACTCTTAGGAACTTCAGACTCAGGGGCATGCATTGAATATTTTGATATACATTGCTCACTTCATATTTAGAAGATGATAAGAAGGCATAGCAAGATTTTATTCACTTTAACAAGATACAATTGCCAGGAAGAATGCAATAAGCTTAACTGATAACATAAGGTAAAAGATCATGAGAGAAATTTAATTCTTCATATGACTTATAAGAAGCATAATACATTTTAAACTTTAAGAACATTACTAGCTTGGTGGTTCTGCATTTGTAAATGGTTGGTAATTTTAAGATTCTTCTTTATATTTGCATCATAAAGTGTGCAAGTATACTTTTAAGCAAAAAGATTACATGTTTACGATCACAATAGGAGGGTTTCTCAATTTAGAAAGCAGGCAGTGAGGATTCTTAACATAGCTGGACATTTTTTTCTTCTTCTATTTCCTTCTAGTAGAGAAAATTATGCCTTTTACTATAAAGAGACTACTGGAAGAAGAGGGACAAAAATTCATGGAAATAAAAAAAAAAAAGAAAGAAAAAAAATTCATGGAAATGTATAAAAGAGGGAAAAAAATGAAAATGAAAATCTGAGTTAGACCAGAGAGACAGAAGAGAAGAAATGGAGAGCAAGGAAGCTGAAGAGTGAGAAATGAAAGAAGGAAAGTTGTTAATGGCTTGAATTTGAACAGTGGCCCCCAAATTGGTGGTGGTAGTAGTGAATTTTCCTGGTGGATGTCTTACTCTTTTTGGAGGAGAAGTCATTCTAATAAAACAGAGCAATGTACAATGGGAAGTTGGACATGGAGTTGATACCCAGGGATCATAAGGAAATGTGTTTTTACTTCTAAAGAATACATTGGAACTGTAGTAAAAATGCATCTCTATTCTGTTATATTTTCGAAGAACAAGAAATTTATTTGGCCTCAGATTTCATAGCAAAAACCCCCCAAAAAACGAGATCTACCTTTCTATTTTATGCATCGTATTTTACCAAATCATTTTTGCCTTTGGTTTATCCCTAAGATCAAACCATAATGTTATAAAAGTATTTTATAATAACAATACATATGACATAACCTAGAAAATGGCCTGTTAGAACATTTGATTTATGTAAGTAAAATAACAGAGTAGGGAGTTTCAAATGACCTTTCATTCATATTGAGGTTATTCTAAGTGATGATTTACTGTGGTTTAAAATTGCATTTTTTTCAAGGTCTTCTGAATAGTAAAGAAACTCTGAATTTTATCTTATCTTACATTTGTTTTATTGTTCTCATTGTAGCAACAGGCCTATTCAAGTCATTCATCAAGCAAAAGCCTGACAGAGAACACTAGGGAATATGGAAGGGTTGTAGTCAATCAAGACAGACACCTAATCTCTGGCAAGGAGATAGTTGAGTCTGGGATACAGAATGTAGGACACGTACCTGTTAATAGCATCCTGTTCTGCCACATCATCATACACTTCCTGGTCATCTTCAATAGGTCGTGATGAAAGAGGACCCAGAGAGTTCTTTTTCTGTCTCAAAGAATCATAGTCAATCTCCACTGCGGTTGTTTTAATGTAACCATCTACCATAAAAGGAAAAGACGGGGGTTTAGGTAATTGTAACTTAAAACATTTTAATGCTATAAATATAGTATCAGTTGTGCACATGTTTCCCCCTGCCCCTTTACTACTAAAAATAGAGCTCAATAGTAGAATACTTGCCTAGGTGCCCAAGGCTCTGGGTTTAATCTAAAGTAACACACACACACACACACACACACACACACACACACACACACACACACACTAAGGTGGCAGTTTAATAAACATTAGAAAGGATTTCCACTTAGTTATTTGCTTGCAATTCTGATATATAGACCGCCTATATGGTCTCTATTTTGCTGTACTCTATTTGTACTTACCAATTATACTTTAGGGTAAGCTTATTGTCTATTTTAAAGATTCAAAAGTGATTCATATGGACCTTTATTTTCTTTTAATACAAATGAAGAATTTAATGACCTTTGATCTTTCCTGGAGGAATATTTAACTTTCTATTGCTTTGCATGCAAAAATACAGATGAGGTAAAGAAAGAACTATACTTGTCATTTTAGATTGTCCTATGTCTATCCACTCCAGGAACATATTCCTAACTTGAGGCTTACAGTTTTGTAAGAGTATTTAAAAGAAAACCTTTTGAGACTATAGGCGAGTTAGACTCACATGACCCTCTTGTAGTTCTGCCCAGCCACTTTCCTTCAGGGTTGTCTGTGATGCGGATTATTTCAATTTCCTCTCCTTGCTTGAAGCTTAGTTCATTCTTCCCCCCTTTGACATCACAGCAGGCCCTTGCTTGATGGATGACTTGAACAGGGCCTGTTAGCTACAATGAGAAAATGAAAGCAAAAATGAAACAAAACACAAAAACAAAAACAGGCTTACTTATCATTCCGGAAACCTTTAAGGAGTGCAATTTTGAAAGATAAACTCACAACTTGATAGCTTGTTTATATCCAACATGTAAAGGTTTCAACTAGGAATTGAGAATGTCATTCCTAGTGAATGTTTTTATAGAGAGAGTTAGAAAAAACCAGAGAGTCCAAACAGAACCAGGACATAATAGGTTCTCTGCATTCAGGAAAGAATAGCACAAGAACCCTGCATGAGAACTGCAAAGGCAGCCTATACTGTTTATGTACAGTCCATGCTGAGTGCTATGTGTTTTACTGGGATATGTGGAGGTCTCATTGGTAGATGGAGATCCTCCTTTAAGTTATATAGTCATAAATTCACTTTTCAACTCTTATCAAGGTAATACAGTTGGACAAGCTTCTAGAATTTTTTCTAGTGATTTGAGTTCTACACTTTTTTCTTAATAAAGATGTAATTTGAGTGAAAAAGTAAAATAATGTAAAACTTACTTCTCCCAAAGATATGAAGAAGGACCTCACAATTCCTTGAAAATTGTAAACAATTTCTCAAGAAGTATGTTATATAGAGTTTATTTAAATAATTAATTTTTTACTTAAAATATAAACTTTGATAGACCTGTATTGTGTGTTAGTAAAATATTTCACTATCCACACTGTAATTATACTTTTGCTTTTATATAGTGAGTTATTTCCAATACTTAATGAGAAGCTACAATAGGTACAATAATCCCTGTGCAATATTTTAATACAATAAAGAACTTTCTAGAAAGATAACCTGTTTCTTATTTTAAAGAACAGAATATGAGTCTCAGCAAAGTTAAATGATAACTGCAAGATTACATAACTCCTATGAGGGGCTAGCATTTAATTTACATCTACCCAACTGATTCTTAGCTGGATATTTTCCTTGTAACTGCTTCTGAACTCCCATTTTTTTTTGTATCAGTGCATTGAGAAGACATAAACAAATCACATTCTTATCATTTCTATGGAGGAATATTTAAAGCAAACATGCTATGAATTCTTCTTAAAGTGAACTAGTTTTGTGATTTAGATAATCACCCTAAGTGTATCTGAGATGCTAGACACATATAAAATTGGATATGTCATCAAAGATGGCAAAGGTAGGGAGTCTTACCTGGGAGTAGAGACTTTAGCTGCAGTAATATTAGAAGTTGCACAGTTATGGAGATCAAGGAGGACAGAGTTCAGAAATTGAGATCCATAAAAGGAGTACAAAGCAGCAGGTATTGGAAGTTAATAAAGGCAAACATGAAGATCAGTTTCAGATACCAGCAACTGAAGTAACTCAAAGAAGTGTTACCCTGGATAGGTCTGGTTCTTCCAGGAGACACTGTGTCACTTACCTGACTAAATTATGTGCTTACAGGCCACCCATCCTCATGTGTAATTCTATACTCATGGCATAAATAGGCCACTAGGAAATGCATAACTAGGTGAACTAAGTTGAAGTTCAGTAATTGAATATTCATTCATTTAATCAACAAAAGTTTCTGGATACCCAGTAACTATATACCCTCAAAATATATTTTAGTTGGATTTTATTATATATATATATTACATATATGTACACATACATATATATTTTAGTAAAGGATAAGGTAGCATATTGGACAAAGAAAGAACTGTCACAAAGATCGGTCTTGTTTCAAAAAGAATGGTTAACTATTTCTCTAAGTATGTATGTTTTTAAGTATGCTGCCATTTTTGTGTGAAAGTTACAAAAAGGTATTACTTCAAGGAAGCCTTACTTTAAATTTCTTCTTTAACTCTTGTTCTTTCTTTTCTTTTTCTTTCTGCTCCTTCTTCTCCAGTTCTAATCTTTTCTTTTCTTCCTTCTCTCGTTTCTTCTCCCGTTCTTTGGAAGCTTCTCTGTGAACATAAATTGTCAGGAGTCTCTGTACGTGCAAGTGTGGATGAATGGATCAGGTTTCACTATTTTATCCTCCACAAAAGGGGACCTTGCAGTGTAGGTGAAGGTGGGCTTTTAAAATCCTAGGTATGTGAGATTATTTTCAAAGGTAATAGAAGGCAACAGTTGAGGATGCCTTCTAGGGACACCCCCAAGAATATCCCCCTTTCAACTTGTGCCAATAAGTGGAAGTCACTGTGCAGAAAGGGTCCATCCTTGCTGCATGCGGGTGTGTATTTCTCTCTTTCATGGGCACACATGAGCATGCATTCACAGGCATTCATGCAAACTTTGATTCCAAACCTTTAGCTAGAATTGGTTGAATAAGAATGAAGTACAGGGGCTGGAAAGGTGGTTCAGTGGTAGAGCGCTTGCCTTGCATGCATGAGGCCCTGGGTTCGATTCTTCAGCACCACATAAGCAGGAAAAAAAAAAAGCCAGAAGTGGTGCGGTGGCCCAAGTGGTAGAGTGCTAGCCTTGAGCTGAAGAGCTAGCGCCCAGGCCCAGAGTTCAGGCCCACGACCCCCGCCCCCCAAAAAAAGAATGAAGTAGAAAGCCGGGTGCCCATGGCTCATGCCTGTAATCCTAGCTACCCAGGAGGCTAAGATCTGAGGATTGAGGTTCAAAGCCAGCCTGGGCAGGAAAGTCCGTGAGACTCTTATCTCTAATAAACCACCAGAAAACTGGAAGTGGCACTGTAGCTCAAGTGGTAGAGCGCTCGCCTTGAGCTGAAGAGCTGAGGGACACGCCCAGGCCCAGAGTTCAGGCCCCATGACTGACAAAAAAAAAAAAAAAGAATTAAGTAGAGAAAATGAAGATATCTAAGCTGAACATACAATTTAAAATATTCATTTCTACTTTTACCCCCTTTCTCAGGTATTTCTTAGTCCATCTAGAAACCTGTTTGGAGCCATTTTTTCCCATACATTGTTCAGGAAGCTGGAACTTGGCATCTGAGTGATGTGTTAAACTATATCTCATAGTACCCTGTGCCCAGGGGAAGAACATAATAAATTCATGTGCTCAGGGCATACTAAGAGCAAGAACTATTGATTCCCATGTCTGACTCCCTCTCTTGAGTCTTTCTACTAGTCTTCCTTCCTAGAATCCTCAAAGAAGTAAAACAACACAGGAGTCTCCTCTGTTTAGATAATGGGTTGTTACTACATGCCAATCATATGAACACAAGTTTTTCTTTCTAGTATTGTTTTAAGCCATCACTTCCTCTTACAAAATCTCATGTTCATCTTATAAGAAACATGTTCTGGTTAGAAAAATAGAATTCATACATGTCTTCATATGTTTCTCCTTCACTCTCTTGTTCCTGTCAAGAAAAACACGGAGACTAATTAGATTAGATTGTTCTGAAAGGTAACAAAGATACACATATTGAATTGATACGATATTTTGTTAAGCCGTATTTGTGAACTTGTATAATTTGCATATACAAATATAATTTGTATAACTTGTATATATATACACATGATTGTCTCTTTTTTTTTTGTCTTGTGAGATAGACTAAGAAAGCAGGTACAAAAGACTGTGTCTTTCATGTCATGTCATCCAGATACAGCAAGACATGAGTTCAACACTGATTACTGAGTCAGTGTACTGACTGGTGTCTTATGTCTCAAGCAAGTTACATAAAATAAGATTGTAATTGGCAACTGTCACCATTACATGTATAATTTTTTTAGTTGTTTGGTTTGTATCTGTAGGAAATAAGTCACAAATAATTGTTCAATAGTTCTTAAACTTAGCCATATAATTTAAGAAGAGAAATTAAAAAAACAATCTGACCTCTTCTAGGTTTCCAGTACCTAAAGGATTAAAATAGAATAAACTTAATATACTGCAATTAAGAAACACTTTAATGTATGATTATTAAATATGACATTATTTAAAACAGTTGAAAATCCAATGTTTTATAGTTGGCGGAGAGGTACAAAGTAGAATATGTGCCTTAGATCCTCATTGTGATTCTTTTGATACCTGTAACCTGGTACAAACCTTTTTATACATTTTTATAAAATAAAGCAAAAGCTCCAAAAAATTAACACACTTATTCTTACCCTATTTATAAGGCAAATACATTGTTTCTATGAGCTTTCATGGAACAAAGTATTACCAAAAAAATCAAAAGTAATACATACTCTAGATTTGCTTTCATGTATGAAACAAATCTAATTACATTTTAAAATATTTTACTACTCAAGAGTTTATTGTAATACCAACTGTACCAGATATCAAGACATATTTTCTTTTTTTAAAATAAAATTATTATCAAGGTGATGTACAGTGGGGTTACAATTACCTAAGTAAGGTGATGATTACATTTTGTGTCTAACTTGTTACCCCTTCCCTCATTTTTCTCCTTCTTTCCCTCTTCCAGATCCCCCTCCAAGTTATATAGATCATTTCCAACATATTGTTTTGTGAATATTGCTATTGCATAGGTTCCTCCTTTTCTTTGTCTCACCATTAAGACATATTTTCTTATTAAGAGCAATAATATATTAAGAACAATTATAAAGTTCGTTTTCAACATAGTGTCTTGTACATCTCATTGTTACAATGGGTCAACCTGAATCCTTATTTTCAGCATTATGTTACTTCCCTTCCCCTCCCCAAATTAGGAAAATGGGAGGAGGGAGGGAAGGGATGGTAGGGGAAAAACAAAGGAGGAGGTAACAATGCTCGATAGGAAATGTACTCATTACCTTACTCATGTAACTGTAACCCCTCTGTACAGTATTTCTACAATAAAAAAATTAAAAAAAAAAAGAACAATTATAAAGCTAGGCGCCAGTGGCTCACGCCTGTAATACTAGCTGCTCAGGAGGCCGAGATCTGAAGATCACAGTTCAAAGCCAGCCCAGCCAAGAAAGTCCATGAGACTCTTGTCTCCAATAAACCAATAAAAAACCAGAAGTGGTGCTGTGGCTCAAGTGGTAGAGTGCTAGTCTTGAGCTGAAGCTAAGGGATGGCGCCCAGGCCCAGAGTTCAAGCCCCACGACAGACAAATAAATAAAATAAAAAAGAATAATTATAATAAAAATGTACTGTTGGTATAAGAATGACAACAGGAACAGACTAAGGACCTTAATAACACATCAAACAGACATATGCATATTCTATACACACACATATAGAAACCATATGGTATAAGAGTGGCACTGAAAATTAGTGAAAAACAATGAACTATTGAGAGTATGGCAAAGAAAAACCTGGCTCCATATTCAAGGTAACAAATCTAGATTCCTATGATGTTGTCAAAGGGGATTGCAAAAAACTCAAAGGCCCAAATATAAGTGATAGAATTCATAGGAAATAATATGAGAAAACAAAAAATAGAGTAGCCAATAACGTACTGTTCATGTAGATTATGTATATGTATGCTCATGACATGCACAGTAAATACATGAGAATATTAACTCATGTTAAGGGAGAAAAAGTAAGGCAACAAGTCATGGAGATTCAAGAGAATAAAAGAAGGGTCTTGAATGTTGTATCATTAATGACATTATGAGAGTGATTGATTTAAAGTTGTATACCAGAGATTAAAAAGAAAAGATTGCCCCTTACCATCAAAGTGCACGATGCCATCTTGATTTTCCTCATTTACAGGGCTTCTAAAATAAAAGAAGAAAAAGTGAAATTGAAACAAATAAAGGTTCACTGTAAAATGAAGAAGAGAAAATAAAACATTATTGTTGGAACTCTCCTCCCTTCCCTTTCTCTCTCCTCTCCCTCCCCTCTGATCTTTCTTTTTCCTCTTCAAACTCACTCTAAACTACTTAACTCCAATTGGTCTTTTTGTTTTTTTGGGTCGGTCGTGGGGCTTGAACTCTGGGCTTGGGCGCTGTCTCTGTGCTCTTCAGCTCAAGGCAAGTGCTCTACTGCTTGAGCCACAGGGCCACTTCCCATTTTCTAGTGGTTTATTGGAGATAAGAGTCTCAGGGACTTTCCTGCCCGGGCTGGCTTTGAACTGCAGTTCTCAGATCTCAGCTTCCTGAGTAGCTAGGATTACAGGCGTGAGCCACGGGCACCCAGCTTTCAATTGCTCTTAATAGCACAATCAATACTCAATCAATAACCCACAAATCCTTAATGATTTATGCAACCCTCCATTTTCCATCCTTATTTTTAGACTGATTGGCATAGTTGGAGAAAATTACTAATTTTTTAGTCCTCTGGACATTACAAATAATTGGTATCTTCAACTTTACCCTCCAGTCTATTCTATAATCTCATTACTCTTCTAATCAACCTTCTATCACATCATTCCTTTCGATACTTATTCAAAACCCTTACACTTTCCTAAATCTGTGATCCTTTCTTTTCCCCTATAGTCAGATAGCTTGTTTTTTATTTCACTGATAAAAAAAAGCCAGGATTGGATATGAATTCTCTTAAGAAAATAATCCCCATAACCTGCAAACTTGTTTTTAGTTATAGTACTCCTTACTGTCTCTCTTCCAAAGTTCTCCCCTTCTGTGTTCTCAATTGCACCTGAATTCTCAGCAATTGTGTTTCTTCAACTATACCTTTTCTTCCATGTGCTGTTATTTATATTCTCCTTCCTTCTTGTCTTAGCGCTAAAGTTATTCTCAGCTATTAACAATAAACATTTCTCTTTGCCTTTCTGTATCCTCTATGTTACAAGACAATAATCCCCTTTTCCACAATCAGGCTAAAAAACCCCTACTATACTCATTGACTCTCCTTGCTCTCCTTTCCCTCATTTCTTCTTTGGCCATAATCTGTCTGATATTGCCACTTCTAATTACTCTAAAAAAATCTTAAATCATCTTAATTATCTCCTACATGCCTCTCGGTTCCTTTCATTTCATTGCATTGGTAGCCCTTGTCAGTGTTGGTCATTTTGTCCTTCAACTTCTTTGGTTTGTTTAAAAAAAAAAATCTCTTGTCTCACTTCTTGTCTCTCTGGCCACTGTCCCACAATTTCCTTTGTGGCTTATGGTGTGTGTGTGTGTGTGTGTGTGTGTGTGTGTGTGTGTGTGTGTGTGTGTGTGTGTGTGCGCGCGTGTGTGTGTGTGTGTTTGTGTGTGTGTATGTGTATCTTCTTTTTTTCAACTCAAGAACTGTCCTTGAATCGTTTCATACAGTCCGGCACTTTCATAGATTATCTTAATGTTGATTTCTGTTGAAATTTCTATCCCAGGCCTTTCTTCTGAATTTCAAATATATATATAGATATATATGTATATATCTATATATATATGCATCTATATCTATATTTACATACATATATACATATATTTATTTGAATGTTCTTTAGCTAGTTCCATATCAACATTTCAGAAACTAAGTTCTCCCTTTTCCATGATGGCTTAAACCTGTTCTGCAAAGTACTTTTACAAAATTCATGAATGTACTTAAATTTTCAATATATAATTTATCTAAATTTGCAGATAAAACCATTGATTTGTGTTTAGTCTGAGCCATTTGTGTTGTCAAATCATTAATCAAAGATTCTTCTTGGAAATAATTCTTATTTAAATCAAATTACAAGATGTACAAGTAGAAAAAGTTATAGAGTGGAAAGTTAAGTTCCCTTTTTTTTTTTTTTTGCCAGTCCTGGGGCTTGAAAGAGCTTGGGCACTGTCTCTGAGCTTCTTTTGCTCAAGGTTAGCACTCTGTTATTTGATCCATAGTGCCACTTCCAGCTTTTTCTGTGTATGTGGTATTGAAGAATAGAACCTAGGGCTTCATGCATGCTAGGCCACTAAGCCATATTCCCAGCCTACAATGGAAACTTAAGTTCTTAAAGCAAATTAGGTCTTTGCATTACTAACTTCAACGAAATACATGTTAGTTTAAAAGATGTAAATACTTTGGATATCAAGATTAACTGACAGACTACTGACTGAAGTCTATTGTTGTTTTCATAGCGTATATGTTTTATACAATCAGCACTTACTATTTACAGTTTTATTTCTCATTTTCCCTCTTTTTGGATCATGATCTCACCTATTAATATTGAGAGCACTCTCTGGTTTTCTGCTTCTGCAAGCTTAGTCTAGGCTTCCCTTCAGTGGACTAATTCACCCTTCTTGTCATGTAGCCTGCTGTAGCCCTCCTATTCCCCCAGCCTCTCCTAAACACTCTCCTCTGGGAAGTTATCCACCCCCTCCCACCCCCCCCCCCCCCATCCCTGTGGCTTCTGTGTGTCATACCATCATCCATGACAGCCATTACCCTGAACTACTTTATAATTACTCAGTAACAGCTTGCAGGTCCCTTGTCTAATAACCAGACTACAAAACTCTCAGGAAAGAGATTGTCCCTTTCTTATTTCGACTGTCATTTTTACAAAACGACTGGAATAATTTCTCTCATAATAGGTCTTTAATATTTTCTTTTATTTATTAAGTATATATAAACAGCATACTTCCACAGCTGTATACAGTGCTTGTAAGCAAGTTCATCTTCTCTATTGAATTCCCTTAACCTTCTTTCCCTCCTACTCCCTTTTTCTCAAGTAGTACTTGGTGGATTTCATCATGCTTCATTCCCAATACAGTCTCCTTTCCACCCCTCTCTCCAGTGAATGACCTAGATAGCCCTACCTTTATACTCATGTCCTATCATTATTGTTATCTAAAATGATTATCATAAAAATTCTTTGATTTTTAAATGAGTGATGTAACAGTAATGCCAAGAGACTTAACTAACTTTTATTACTGAAAAGTTATTTTCACTTGTGAAAAGGGTTTGTTGTTGTTGTTTTGGTCGGTTGTGAGGCTTGAAAACTCGGCCTGGGCGCTGTCCTTTAGCTCTTTCAGCTCAAGGCTAACGCTCTACCACTTGAGCCACAGATCCACTTCTGGTTTTCTGAGCTGTTTATTGGAGATAAGAGTCTCACGGACTTTCCTGCCCAGGCTGGCTTTGAACCACAACCCTCAGAGCTCAGCCTCCTGAGTAGCTAGGATTACAGGCATGAGCCACCGGCACCTGGCTGTGAAAAGGGTTTTAAATCTAAAATACCAGTGTAGTTCCTAAATACTTGGATGAATAAGACCTTTGTGAAATGAAGGATTTTGGCAGAACACACTCATCCATCGTGTATGCCCCTGTTCTTATGTAAAATATTTATTAACCACAGGCAATGTTTGCTTGCACATGTTTATTCATAGACCCAACATTATGGCATAGGAATTTTAGTGCCATCTAATGTAGGTCTGAATTTATAATATGTATAGTATTAAAATATTCTATAAATATGGAATAAGAATGGCAATACAAATATGGCAATGACAGTGGAGAATAAAAGAGAAAAATATGAAAAAGAAATCATTACAAATGTGCTGATTCAACCCAGATCCAATTGTCACCAGTTGTTCAAAGTACCCCATGCACTGAGAAAAGCTGCAAAGAGAGATTAGGAAGAAACAATGGAACCAGTCACAACCAAGGACAGAAAACGGAGTGTGTGTTTAGAGGGAGGGGAGGGGAGCAAAGGAGAAGAAAAGGAAGCTTATCATTTGGGATAATAAGTTCTTTCAAGAAACCCTTTCCTGATGGCTCTCTGTTGTTCAACCACAACATATAGAATTAAAGAGGAAAAGTGGAATTACTTTCGTATCATGATCATCATTTTTAGGAAGCTAGTAAGGTTCTATTTCCTGATAGCTAAAGATAGAAAACTGTTGATACTTATAATTTACTTTCTGTTCATGAATTTAGCTTTTAATTGCTAGAATTTTTTCTTCTTCCTTTCTTCTTGAGAAAGAAAGAGGCATTTAAATGTGGTTCTATATCTGCCCTTATCAGGAATTAAAATTAGGAGGCCTCTCCCTTTTTATGCTTATCTTATGATTTATGGCAAAGATTTCCAAATAGGTAAGAATGGACAACTGATAAGAGCAATCTCAAGTTCTGGAAAATTGTTAGAATTTATAATTAATTAAAAGAATATAATGGTAAATCCTTACCAAAACAAATCTCTTAAGTATGAGAGACTTCAGGGGAACAACCATTCATCCTTTTCTAACTTAGTCACTTCCTACCATTTATTATTTCTTATTACCTCACTTTTCCTGTCTCATTACTATTATTAACCATGTAATTTGTTTTCTATCCTGAACACTCAACCACTGGTTAATTTTCATCCAAAGAATTCGTTATGCTGTTAAAAAAATCACAATTTATTTTAAAAAATGGTACCCAGAAATTATACTGGAAGATGCTGATTTGAATATTCCTCATGATAAAAACTGGCTTTTTGATCCTTAAGTTCTTAACATGTCTGAGTAAAAATAGCAGAAAATACAAAGACTTATCTTTTGACCACTAGGTGGGGAAGCAATACAATTTAAAAATACATTTAATATCGGCTTCAAAGACTGTTTTCAAAGTTATTTATGATTTCTGATTCTTTCCTGCCTCCACTCTTCTATACTTTCAAACTGTCCTGACCTGAATGAGATTATTATAAATTCTTTGTGGGAACAGCTTCAGAAATAGGCAGATCAGGCAGCAGGTGACAAAGAGTTTCTGAATTTGTTGAAATTCCTCCCTGGAGCCCAGCTCAAGAGTCCATGCATGAATTGAATGCACCCTACCTAGAATTCTGAACCTTACCAATCATTTAGGTTTTGAGAAACCAATCCCTTACCAGTCCCTTTGGTCCTTGGTGTCAACAGTCCTTCCCTTTTTACAATGATTACTTTTTCATCTTTTTACTATCAGCTTACAAATATGTTGATACTTTTGTTTTAAACTTTTAAAATAAGATTGTCTTGATCCCACTTCTCTTATCTGCCCCATGTTGTTGTTTTGCTTTTTTCCTTTGGAGAGTGTCTAGCTGGGCACTGGTGGCTCATGCCTGTAATCTTAGTTATTCAGGAAACTGAAATCTGAGGGTTCAGCACCAGCTAGGGAAGGAAAGCCCATGGAACACTCATCTCCCATGACACAGAAGTAGAGCTGTGGCTCAAGTGGTAGAGTGCCAACTTTGAGTAAGATAGCTAAGGGACAGTGTCCAGGCCCTGAATTCAAGCCCCAATACTGGCACAAGACAAAACAATAACATCAAAGGGTGTCCATTTGAGCTCTTCCCAAGTCCTCTCCTTCCATTCTTTTTTAAGGCTCTTTCTAGCAGGCCCATATAGTCTTCTGACAATTTCATACGCATTGACCATCACAGTCTTCTCTTGCTTGTTCTCAACAGTGTCTGACCACTAAGGTACAGGGCGTGACTCAAACTGTATTTATCGAGTAAATGCTTTTTAAAGATTAGATCTTGACTTGAGAGTGGCCTCTGATTAGAGAGGGAAAAACACTTCTGGGCTGCCATAAACCCTCTTGAAAAACATCCATGTAGGTTTTGTAAAGGGTGATGATGAAAATAAATGTAGAACTGCCTGCATCTCCCACCTTTCTACCTGAAGGCCAACCTGTGAATTCCCCAGTCACATTCATGTAACACAGAAGCTTTTGAACCTGAGTACTGAGACCCATTTTGCTTTCATTTCCTCTGTTTGTTTGTCTAATTTCTCTTCCTAGGGAAATTTTCTAACCTACATATTTCCTCATTGTGGAAATAACTTGAGCATATTGATAAAGAGCTTTGACACTTTCTTCTTTGGGAAAAAATGCTTATAGATATTCTTAGCATTCACACCTTCTCTTTTCTCCATTTTATAATTAACTTTCAAAATTTCTAGCTATAAATTATTTGGGCAATATAACACCCAAGACTTTTTTGCATGTTTATTTTTTTCCTAAGGAGATGTATTGTTTGAAACTGAAAAGTTTAGGCAAATCTAGTTATAACAGGAGTCCTTAATAAGTTGGAACAGGGATGGGATTAAGTTTATTGTTATTGGAGAATTTTGTTATTCTCTTATGAAAACTGTTTTATAAATAAGATTTTTTTTGTCTCTAGCTGCCACTAAGCTCTTTCAACTTTGTCTACCTTGTAAGAATTCCTTGCAAAGCTGGAAAATTGTGTGTGCTGGTACTGGGGCTTGAACTCAGGGATGGGGCCTTGTCCCCGACCTGTTTTGCTCTAGGTTATCACTCTGTCATTGGAGCCCCAGCTCCACTTCTGGCTTTTTGGTGGTTAATTTGGGATAAAAGTCTCATAGACTTCCTGCATGGGCTGGCTTTGAGTAGTGATCCTCAGATCTCAGCCATCTGAGTAGCTAGGACTACAGGTGTGAGCCACTGGCACTCAGCTGCATTTGATTTTCTTTTAGAAGAATTTACTATTTAGGTTCACCAGTGATTTGTCTATAGGAATTCGGTTCCATAAAGTTCTATACATTAGTATCAAGTATTACCTAATTGATAAGAAAAAGCCTTGTTTTACTTAGAGTAAATAAACAACATGGCTTGTGGTGAACACCTGCTTTGGTTCTGGGCCCCTGGTACTTTGCTAGCTGGTCTTCAGACGGTGCCTATGTGACCAGACTCCACTGGCAATTTTGGCACTGTCTCTAGACTTCCTTTAGAGGTAGTAGAAGACATGCACTTCATTCTCATAACTAAGTGAAGGCACACGCAGGGTGGACCCCCCACCCTTTCACCCTTCAGGCTTTTGGGAACACAGCATCCGAAGCCTGTGTATGGACATAGTTGCTGTTTGTACCTTCTTGTTACTTACAAAACCCAACCTCAGCCACTGGTGCTACTTGATCCTGAGTCCTTTTAGAGAATGGGAAAATACATGGGTGGAGTGGAAAACTGAAACAGTGGGAATGGTGCTGAGTATTCACCCTTTCCAGAATTTCTACAATCAAATAGTATGCCTTGTCAGTTTTCAGGATTCATGCTCAAGTCATTCATTAACATTTCTCACTAGAATTACTGTCTTCAGAAGCCTCACTGAAGCTAGTAGCTGGGACATGGTTACATAAGATTTATAAGTTCTAAGATGGAAATCTACTGGGGTAAATTTATCAGGGTAGAAAAAATTTAGGAAGAAAAAGTCCATGATGTTCTACACGTGAATGAAAATAGTATACATAAAAATTAGATACATGGAATAACATATACTAATTAGTTATTTTCATTAAACTAATTCTTAACCTTGCATGTCAGTAGTCAGATGTCCTCTATTCTTATTTAATAGTGATATCTCATAAAGTGTCTTAGTCTTTACATTAGCATTAATAAACCAAAATGCCTGGATGTACTGCTCATACAAATGTACAAGGCAGGTGGTGCGTAATATAGTAAGCACAAACCTTCTCTAAAACCTCCAATTACTAATTTTAACTCCCAACCCCTACCAGGAAAGCTTAATAACGTGACAAACGGTAATGGCTACCCCTGGCTAGTATGTTTTCAGCCTCTGATGTAAACTGCAATCATTCTATATTTAAAGAAATCACCTGCTATTCTTATTAACCATTTCAATTAGATGGATTTCAATTTCTATTAGAAGAATAGTAAGTATCTTTATTGTTAATGTCATCTATCTAGTAGAAAGATTTAAAGGAAGGAAAATCAAGTTGTATTTTATCAGTTGTGATATCATTTAGTTGTGGTAAAGGGGAATTATGTAAAGCAATTTTCTGAAAGAGGAAGGGAAGACCTTGCATATCTTCCCATAACAATCTATGCGTACTTGGGACTGTGTGAATATTTCTTTTTGAGATTTCCTTCTATTTCAATCTTCTACTTGTTTTTGCCTGGCTTACTTGCTATTCTGGTAAATCACACATTTGCTGTGCATAACATCCCATAGAGTTCTGACATTTCTAAAAAACTTAAATACATAAAGGCTTGAATGAGGCTCTTCTTAGGCTTCTGACAGCTGGCAAAAAAATTCTGAAGGAATTTGCATTTCTTTTCAATGGAAGCAATTTAGTATAGTGTTTTTTTCCCCCAGTTAGTTGAGACAAGGACTCCCTGTTGTAGCTCAGACTATGTTTGTGAAGGCTCTGTAATCCCAGGTGCTGGGATTACAGGTATCTATGGCCACTCCCATGAATATAGTGATGTGAAGTACATATTTATCTTGGTTTAAATTTCTACTGTCTACTACCATTTGGTCCTAAAGGTTACTTGGCCCTTCTAAAGTTCCATTTTGTGGTCTGTGAAATAAGTATACTATATCATTTGATATAGTAAATAGATATATAGATAATAGATGAGATCCACAAATGCCAGTACATTATAGGCAGTCAGTAGAAGATTGTGACAGTGGTGATGGTGATAACGATCATGGTAAGGTAAATGGTGATGATGATGATGGGAATTATATTGGTAATGATGGTGATGGTGATAGTGGAGATGATGGTGGTATTGCTAACCTCAAAAAAAGTCCAGAACTTAAAAAAAAAAAAGGTGGATATTTATTTCAAGTCCTTAAAAGGAAAAGCTCACTTCAAATGAATGCAGAGGAAGCTCAATATGTAACAGATTAACAAAGGTTGCTCAGATTTGAAAGGGAGGAGAGCGGTCCCCTCAGCCAATCCTTCTCCCTGACAGATCCTTCCCAATGTCCCTAGAACTTAACCATGGAACTCTCAATACCCTGCATAGTCTGAAAATCTGTGGCATGACATGGGTAAAGAAATGGCAACATTATGTTTGGCTTACTTGAGGTCAAAGGAAGGCTTAATATTTCTGGGAGGTAGGGTTGGAAGTGGCGATTGTGTTGGGTGGGATGGTGGTAGTGGTGGCTGGCTTGCTGAGCAGGACGGTGGAGTTGGTGGCAGGGAAGTTGTGGAGTAAGGCGTCTGGCCTTTGCTGGTGCCTAAGAAGCAAAGCAAATACAATGAATTCAGACAAATCTCCAGAGTGAAAAAAACCACCATTCCAATTATGCAATCCTTACATATGAAAATGTAAGGACCCCCCCCCCCAAAAAAAAGAAAAGAAAATAGAAATAAAAGTGTAATATCTATAAGCAGACGATAAAAACTAGTATCTTTTTCTAAAGTGATGAAAAATAAACTATATTTGTAAAATCATGAAAAAGGTGATACAAAGTTGATGTGGGCTTGTTCACAAAATGCATAATATTAAAAACAAAATTTACAAAATCAAAAAAAGACAAGAGAAATTTTTTTTGTTTTTGTTTGTTTGTTTTTTGTTTTTTTGGGTCTGGTCGTGGGGCCTGAACTCTGGGCCTGGGCACTGTCCCTCAGCTCTTCAGCTCAAGGCTAGCACTCTACCACTTAAGCCACAGCGCCACTTCCGGCTTTTTTCTTTTTGCTTATGTGGTGCTTAGGAATCGAACCCAGGGCCTCAGGCATGCAAGGCAAGTGCTCTACCACTGAGCCACCTTCCCAGCCCCTATTTCTATTTTCTTGAATCATAAATATGTTACATTTTGTTTTAGTCATGGGTCTTAATATTTCCTAATATGAGTAAGTCATATACTTTATTAAAAATTATAATATAGCTGCGCTCTGGTGGCTCTAACCTATAATCTTATCTACTCAGGAAGTTGAGATCTGAGGGTCATGATTTGAATCCAGCCCTGGCTTTAAAGTCCATGAGATTTTCATTTGCAATTAACCACTAAAAGCTGGAAGTGGAGCTGAGACTCAAGTGGTAGAGCACTAGCCTTGAGCACAAAAGTTCAGGGGCTGCACCTAAGCTCTGAGATCAATCATTCAATCACCAGGACTGGTACACACACACACACACACACACACACACACACACACAAAATTATAATATCAATGTTAATAGATACCTTTCAATAGGTAGGTTGTTGCTTTCTTATTTTTAATTTTTGCTGGTATTGAAGTTTGTACTCAGTACCTCATACTTGTTCAATCGGTTTGCTTGCTTGTTCAACAGGCATGTTATCATCTGACCTATACCTCTTTCCCAATTTTTGATGGTTATTTTTTGGGATGAACTTTTCTGTCTGGGATGGCTTTAAGCTTCCATCCTCCTTGTCCTGAGTAGTTCTAATTATAGGCATGAATCAGAGGCCTCCAACTTGGTGCTTTTAAACATTTTGGTACAAATGCATGCTTCTGAGGAATAATTTTTCTCAATATTAATAAATATCTTTCCAGGTTAAATTCAAGATAGTGTTTAGTAGATGAAGAATTATTTTTCATATAGAAACCATGATTAAACTGCTACATGTTCTCACTGGTTTGTGCAAACAAGGCAGACAGTCTCAGAACAATGGATTGGAGTAAGGTCATTAGAAAGTGGGAAGAGAAGCCAGGTGTGGTGGCTCATGCCTACAATCCTAGCTATTCAGGAGGTTGAGAGCTGAGGATCGCAGTTCAAAGCCAGTCCAGTCAGGAAAGTTCATGAGATTCTTATCTCTGGAAGTGGCGCTGTGGCTCAAGTGGTAGAGTGCTAGTCTTGAGATGAAGAGCTGAGGGACAGTGCCCAGGCCCAGAGTTCAAGCCTCATGACCAACAAAAAGAAAAAAAAAAGAAAGTGGGAAATGAGTAGGCATGGAGAACAAGTTAGATAAGGGGACCCACTATTGTTAAAAATGAGCAATAAGCTCATTGGCTTACATAGCACAGTAGAATAATTACTGGTTACAGCAATCTATGATGTATTTCCAGGTGTTTTTGTTTTTGTTTGGGTTTTTTTAGTTGTTACTGTTTTGGTATTCTGGGGCTTGATTTCTGGGCCTGGGTATTGTCCTTGAGCTTTTTTGTGCTCACGGCTAGTGTTCTACCTCTTGAAACACAGCTTCACTTCTAGCTTTTTGTGGTTAATTGGAGCTAAGAGTCCCACGGACTCTTCTGCCTGGGCTTGCTTTGAACTGCCATCCTCAGATCTTAACTTCCTGAGAGCTAGGATTACAGGTGTGAGACACTGGCACCTGGTTATGATGTAGAAGAGATAATGCTCAAACACATATGAATGATTGATGCTTGAGAAGATAAATGTACTTACAACCCTGAGCTGATTATTATTATACACTGTACATATGTATTCAATTACCATACTCTACACCAAAGAAGTACAGATATTAGCTTTCAAGACAAAACAAAACAAAGTATTAAATACTTGTAAGCTGTCTTTTTTGCTGTAATTGAAAATAAATTCTATCAGTAGACACGTTAGGTAAAATAGAATCATTTTAAGTGCTTGAGAGACAAGGTTAACAAGTCTTTGACAGATATCAACTGTACCTTTATCAGTTAGAACATGAGTTTTCTCATTTTAGTGTCTTTGTCAACACTGACATTATCATGTTATGAACTTTTGATCATATTATGGAAAATATTCTACCTTCCTGTTGTAAGTTAATTTCATTTATTATCAAAATATACCTGCTCAGGAATTAGCATATTAGACAATGCCAGGTAACATTTAACAATAGCCAGATAATATTTAACACTAGTAAGAAGGAAGTATTCCACTTTCTCTATTGCAGATAATGACTTCCAGTATTTTATGTGTTTCTTTTGTTTTATTGTCATATTTCTCTCACCTGTATATAGCTCTGGCTTGATTAAAGATTTCAAAAATTAATTTTCTATCTGGTAGACAAGGAATTTTGCTCTCTTTTTCCCTTTTCAATAAAGAAAGTCATAACTGTTTTTGACAAAAATCTGAATTCATTATTTATATTATGATGACTACAAATATTGGGCTTTGCTGAGTCAAACATTATACTATGATTACATTTCCTTTCTCATTTAATTTAATGTTTTTCTAGAGTTAATAACTGCCTCACTTGGTTATTTGCAAAGTCTTTTTTCAGATCTCCCCCCACCCCCCACCAGTTTCCAATGGTTTCTTATATTTCTTGTCACAGAAACAATATACTTGTCAGACATTTAATTTGGAGGAAACAAAAGAGTGCATCTTACATAATTATTTGCAATACTTGTGCTGCTCTGAAATTTTGCAACACAGTACCGCTCCTGGGGTTTTTCTGCCACCATCATGGCTCTGATATTCTAAGAGAACAAACTGTGATGGAAAGTACCAGAGTGTCAAAGGCTTAAATCCTAGTTTATTTACCTTCCGAGTGACATGGATCATCCACTTTCTGGTTCAATGTGTAAAGCAGAAATAATAATAGTTGTGTGAGACTTGTGAGACAACATGTCTAAAACATCTGGAACAGTGCTTATTGCCTGGTAAATTTCACGGCTTGTTTTTCATCCAATAGCTATTTCCAGAATACCACTCTACATCCAGCTCTGTGGTAGCCCTAGAGAAATCAGACAAAATCTATGCTCTTAGGGATTTAAGGAGACAATAATTAAATGAACCAAATGCAAAGAAATTGTTATATCAACTGTGGTGGGAGTTGCTATGCATGGTAGAAAGACTAAGTACTGTAATTCTACTCGGCAGGCATTCTGCTCAACTCTGAACTCAGTCACTTCACTATAGTAGATTAACATAGATGTGGTAAGAATACTTTTTTCTTGTGGAAATTGGAAACACTGAAATAAGACCTTCATTCATTTTTTTATTGTTAGAGCTGAGAAGATAATGGAGAAAATGATAACAATGCAGCTTGGATTTGTGTCATTTCTGCAGTCACTCTGAAGGGCATAATATGGAGGAAATATTTTTGGTAGTTAAAAATATTTGGTAGTTAGGAAAACTAAGTAAAGAGCTAGCCATCAATAGAGGTGCAGTTAATGTCTTATGTTTATGACTTATCTGCTATGTTTTGCTGCTTCTCAGGGCAATGGAATGGAAATTATTGGACCTATTAAGAAACTTTCCTAATAGCTGAGTATAATTATGCTTCTTTTTGGCTTTGTACTTTTCCTCTTACTCGGATTTTATAAGGGAGTTTATAATAAGAAGGAACTGACTTTAGAGAATATAAATTTTACACATATAGGTGTCTTGGATAGTAAATATATTATGCTTCAGAACTGGGATGTGGAAACTAGATAGCAGGAATGTAGACCATCAGAAGCTAATAGACAACAGGCTGTCAAAGATAAGACCTGGAAAAAAATTTCCCCAAGTATTAGGAGGGGGGAATTTGAAATTAAATCATAAAAGGACTTAAGAGGTATAAAAAGGAAAGGGTAAGTTTGGAATTGGTTAGTTTGAAGAATTAAAAATGCAAAATTTAAGAGATAGCACCTAAAATTCTGTGCTACTTACTGATCTTGTTCCCAAGTCTTGGGAACAAAGATTTGTCTTGGTAGACCGTGGTCATTTAGAATGACAAGAGCATGCTGGGATATGAAACCCCCAATACAGCTGGCAGAGCTGATGTCCTAGTCAGCTCAGATGGCACAGCTCCAGTGGGCTCATAGGATGAGTTTGTAAGCCATTCCCCATGTTCATTCCAAGACAGAAGAAGGATCTGTGTTCTGAGCATTTTAACAGGAACCCAAGCCTTGAAGAAGAGATAATGCACATTTTCTAGTAAGTAAGTAGAAGCTTAGAGTAACTAATACCAAAAGTAAAAGCACTGACTGTTCATAGTGGTTACAGAACAAATGGGTTGAGAGGAAGGTAAGGATGTTGCAAAACTCTTTAGAACAATAGATTTCAACAGTTTAGAGGTAACAATCCCACTCCAACTTACCTTCCCCTTTATTTCTCAAGTCATGCTCAGGATGGCCTGGAAATGCTCAAGGCCAGGATAGGTTTGCCAGGAGGAAAAGAGTAGGAAGAGACTACCTTGAGTCAGAGGTGATCCAGCGGTTATCTGGCCCTGCCCTTAAGGGTGGTTCCAGGTTCTCTGAGACACAGGATACCCAGGGAGGGAGGTAGAAGCTAGAGGTGAAATTTCATCAGGATCTAAAACTCTGTAAATAGAAAAAGGGAACTAAGGGA